AGGGGGAAGGGGTGAACAGCTTTGACATCATTTTTCCATTTGAACAATATTATAATTGCTTAAAATCAAAATAGAAGGGTTTTTTTTAGTTCTGACATTAATTTTGGACCTTGAAAATAACTTTCTAGAAACTGCATTCTTTAAATGTCTCCCTTATCCACCTAGAAAGGAAGGAAAACCAGTTTAATGTTGAACTGAAGCTCACTTTCATGAAAATCCATACTTACTTAACTCCATCTCCAAGGGGGGTATATGCCAGGGCCCTCTTTAGGTAAAAAATCTTAAAGTGATACATAACTCACTTAATTGGTTACTCAATCAAAACAAGTGAACCTGTTTCCATAATTCTTCATCTAATGAATGAACTCCAGGTAAAATAGACCTGTTCTTGGCAACTGCCGAAAAGTAATTTGACATCAGAGTCATTGTAAAAGAATGTGCCTGAGCTGCTACCAGCAGCTCATCGGCACAGCCGTTCCAACTGCGAGCCGCCGGGAGCCACTTGCCGGAGAAAAGGATTTGAGCAGACTGGACTCTCCAGCTGTGTGCCTTACCCTCCCTCCGGCAGGACTCTCCTTGAGATGATCTTGCTGCGTTTTGCGGTCACTGGAGAACGCAGGTCTTCAATCCTCTCGTAAAACAACAGGTAGCCGTTCCAGTAACGCAGCCGCTCCTCAGGGTAAGTGCTCGCTGTTGTAGAGCAAACATATAAGATTTCAAGGTTGGTTTTGTTTGTTTTTTCAAAATGTTTTTTCAAAACAAAGGTTCTGGGTTTTTAAAATAATTTACAGTGCAAGTAAATTTACAAAACCCATCTCTAAAAGCTACAATTCTCAAGGCATTGCAAAAATTCTCAGCATCAGCTTCAGCAATGAAAGTATCAAACCTTATTTAAGTTATTTAAGTTAAAAAAAAACTATTATTAATTCATAAACTACAACTTACAGGTGCCATAAACTATTACAAGAGTCATAAAGTAACATTCACTAACAGAAATCGCCATTTCTTACTTGAGTAGTCATGTACAGTGGAATCCTGTTATAACGAGAGGGACGGGACTGGTGTGAAATGTCCGTTATAGCAGGATTCTCGTTACAAGGTATCCAGTAATAAATTCAAGCGAAATAGTAAAGTAGGCCTAATCTATGAGTTTGGCGTTCTGTTTAGTCTTTTTTGTATTTCCCCTGATGATGATTTGTTCAACATGATCTCTAGGTCTTACTTGATCAAAAATCCAATCAGGTTTCTTTCTGTAACACTAGCAATTTTGACAAATCGGCCTTGGCGATCAGAAAAAAGGGGCTCTGGCTTTGGCTCTAGGCTAACTCACCCGCTGTGTTTTCCCCCACTCCACCACACCCTGTGGTATGTTGCGTCTGCTTGCGCACGTCACACATTCATTCTATCCACCTATCACAGCATTGTGACCTCTCCATCCCGCACCAGAGAAGTGAGAGGCATGGTATGCCTAGATAATCTAGACTGGGCTGGCCTATCACGCAATGCGTTCTGCTTGTCTGCACATGCCACACCCTCCCCACTCATTCGCTCCGGCCTTCATTGTTGGTTCGCGTGGACTCTCCCATTCTTTGTTTCCCTGGATCACCAACAACTTTCTCAATTGGCAAGGTTTTATAATATATATGTTTAATTGGTCTGTGCGCTGTGCACAGCAGCAGCAATATTCCGCTATAACCGACTCGCGTGAACGTCTGGTTGCGCTATAGCAGTATTTTATTTACAAAGATAAAGAAGGAGAAAAAACGGGGTTTTAGAATAGTGCCTTTATAACAGACTTCTCGTTATTTCAAGACTCGTTATAAGTGGACTCCACTGTACCACTTGCAGGAGTCATACACAAATGATCACTTACAGGTGTATAAACTACCACTCACTTACAAGAGCCAGAAACTCTCACAAGAGTTATAAAGTACCACTCACTTACAGGGGTCATTTCTTGCGTGCTTGAGTCATCATTTGTCACTTACAGGAGTCACACAAAAATTATCACTTGCAGGAGTCATACACTATCACTCATTTACAAGAGACATAAACTATGACAAGCGTCATAAAGTATCACTTGTTTACAGGAGTCATCATTTATCCCTTACAGGAGCTGCCCATAAACTACCACTTACAGGAGTCATCATTTATCTCTTACAGGAGCTGCCCATAAACTACCACTTACAGGAGTCATCATTTATCACTTATAGGAGTCATCATTTATCTCTTACAAGAGCTGCCCATAAACTACCACTTACAGGAGTCATAAACTTTGGCCTTGTAGGATCCCCCGAAACACTCCTGCTCCACTGTCATGTCATTCATGTCAAACTCCTCCACCACTGTGTCGTTGAACTTGAACCACTTGCCCTTGTTGGGGTTCGTGAGCACCGTACCTCTGTGGCGGCAGAGTTGGGAGTTGTAGGGGGAAGGAAAAAGTGGTATTGTAATACAATATAAATAATTAAAACCCTTGACAGAGGTTTCTGTAAATGAAAGTGTCCTGCCTCCAATGGCAATGCATCACTTACAATGAAATACTGGAGTAACATTTTTGTCTATGAAACAAAGCTGGATCCTTTTATGGTTAACATATGTGAGGCAGCGTGGTGAAATCAGGCTCTCGTCAAAATAATCAAAGTGAAGAAACTTGCATTTTGCCGCTGGTTTGTGAATTTTTATCAAATTTTTGTTTTTTGGCTCAACATCTTTCATCTCCATTAAAGAACTCATTTCAGTGTGGATTTTTCTGAAAAACGTTGATTAAAAGCACAAAAATTTAAATTTTCAGTTACCACGGACTCTTAAGCTAAGGAAATAACTAATCTTTGGCGGTCATTTTCTCACTAATTTTACCTCTGAAAACAGGTGACCCCCACCTCCTTCTTTTGCAAATATCTCGACTTGTATTCAAGATAAATGGATATTCTAAAATCCAAATAAAGACAAGTGAACAAGCTTTACAATGATACCAATAACTCTACATGCCCCAAAATTGACGAGCGCCTGATTCCACCACGCTGCCTCACATATTGTGTCATTATAGGTCTTGGTCTCATTGGCCATAGCAGAAGCCACAAGTCGTCTCACTTTTCATTCTCGGAATTCTTCTGTTTGGCTTGACAAATAAACTTCTCTGCAAATGTATTGGTCATTGTCCGGCATTGACAGATAAACTCTATAATTATATATTGTCACATGGATGCTGTATTGTCAGACAGATAAACTCTATCATTATATATTGTCACATGGATGCTGTATTGTCAGACAGATAAACTCTATCATTATATATTGTCACATGGACGCTGTATTGTCAGACAGATAAACTCTATCATTATATATTGTCACATGGACGCTGTATTGTCAGACAGATAAACTCTATCATTATATATTGTCACATGGACGCTGTATTGTCAGACAGATAAACTCTATCATTATATATTGTCACATGGACGCTGTATTGTCAGACAGATAAACTCTATCATTATATATTGTCACATGGACGCTGTATTGTCAGACAGATAAACTCTATCATTATGTATTGTCACATGGACGCTGTATTGTCAGACAGATAAACTCTATCATTATATATTGTCACATGGACGCTGTATTGTAAGACAGATAAACTCTATAATTATATATTGTCACATGGACGCTGTATTGTCAGACATTCCTTAATGCATCGACATGCTTCTCTCTAACAAGAAGTAATTCATAAGAATATCCAACCAGCTGATAACTGGAACGATCAGCAAGCCAACCCTTTCATGGATCCTGGATAGGAGAGAGAAGCAGCTATGGCATTGACAGCCTGCCATGATACCTATTCTCCAACCAAGTAACCAATCAATTAAGTACCAAAATGCAGTTAAGTTAAAGGAAAAAGAAGCAAGAAAGGAAAAAAAAAAGAGAGAAAGAGAGTAAAGCTCTGGTGTATGTACCTCCTGTCTCTGATGTAAGAGTAGTAGTGTCCAGCGTTAGCCTGCCCGCTGTGCACAACGATTCCTACAAGGTCGTAGTGGATGGGGCTCCGGTCCGTGTCGATGCAGGCCGCCTCCACCCCTTGTTCCACGTCGCCGTTCAGCAGATCAGCCATTCCCACCTCACCATCCACCGCCGAGGAGGGGCCATCGGTGTCAGAACTCAGGGAGCTTCGCTCCGCCTGCTCCCCCTCCCTCCGTGCCATTCCTTCGACTGTGTAGGGCTCCATGTCTAACGTCCAAGGGAACTGTAAGGGGGGGAAGAAAATCAGAAGTACATAAAGCTAGTATCATCATCATCATCATTGCCTTTCTCACCCTGGGGCAGGATATAGGCCACAAACAAAATAAAGCTAGTATCCCCTACTGAAATTATCCATAGTATTAGTTTCTTTCAAGGTCTATAACAATTTCTCGGGTTTTTTTATAGACAGCTGTGTTCATCAGGATGCCTGGTGCTGTCATATTATTATGAAGACCAGGGACGATGATGATTTTTTTTTTAAAAGAATAGTACATCACAACCATGACCACTGGTGAAAAATAATATACTAATCCACATACCAAAGGGGAAAAAAGAGGTAGAATCAACCACCAGCACCCGCTACCCATCCTTCAACAGTATGGAATTCACATACACTGTAGTACTGAGCCATATTGTCAAGCTTGTTTCCCTTCTTTCAAGACCTGAACCTATCATCTTTGCTTTTTAATCCGGCAGCCTGTCTACAAAGCCTTCAACACAATGTTTCTAAAAGATTATGAAACCACTTTCTAATATAATACATAGAAAATTCTCCCAAAACATCTTTTCTTATTTTGTCTGATTCCTAATCTTGCCTCACCTCGCTCACAAATCCCACAAATCTACTACATAGAACAGAGATGTGGGTATATTACAACAACTAAGATCCTAGGATTTTCGCCACCAAAAATAAGTTGAACTTACCTTGAAGTAGTCATCAAACTTGAGGGCTCTGTTGGCCTCCCAGTCATAGCCAAACCTCTTGAGCTGTATACACAACATGGGAGGCAGGCTCTTGATACACATCCTTTTGATGGCGTTCCTCTGAAACATTCCATACAAGACATTTTATACTCTTTGTCATTTCATTACTCTAAAAAGTATTTAAAATTCCGTTCTAAAGGTCTTTGACATCCACAGAGGTAGAGTATACACAACTGTATACACAACATGGGAGGCAGGCTCTTGATACACATCCTTTTGATGGCGTTCCTCTGAAACATTCCATACAAGACATTTTCTACTCTTTGTCATTTCATTATTCTAAAAGGTATTAAAAATTCTGTTCTAAAGGTCTTTGACATCCACAGAGGTAGAGTTAATTCTAGGTTCCGAGACATACCATAGGATCACTTACAAGATATCAACACTTGCTGTTAATGGCTTACTTCACAGAAAACACTGATACTCAAATTATATTTGGGTAGTTTGAAGGAGAACAATTTTATTATATTAACAGTAAGAAGAACACAGCATTCACCTTTTGAACCCTATTCCCCTAAGGATAGAAAACCAGTATACATGAGCTACCTTGGGTCAACTGCTAGATTACACTGACACAAGCTAAGACAGGTGTCTTGTGCAAAAAAGGGCATAAGTAGAGCTCATATATGTTCAAGTCCATTTGAATAAACCTAGATAGACCAAGACCTGAACCTATCATCTTTGCTTTTTAATCCGGCAGCCTGTCTACAAAGCCTTCAACACAATGATTCTAAAAGATTATGAAGCCACTTCATACAATACATAGAAAATTCTCCCAAAACATCTTTTCTCATTTTGTCTGATTCCTTATCTTGCCTCCCCTCCCTCACAAATCCCACAATTTTACACCTGAAAGTAGTTAAGTTACGACTGAGGATATATGGTCTGAACAGAGGAAAAGTGTCGAGTTCGCATGGCTGCCTAGCCAAGTGAGCATCTGAGGAAATGAGCAGGTCAATCTCCTGGCAAAGGAATCTTGTCCCTTCTGTTGGGATCAACGAAGAAAACCCTCCCACAGACTGACATTGAAAATAAGGTTAAAAGCTGCACCCCCAGTCTGAGGGAGAAACACTGGAGTGAACAATTAAATGACAAGCTCAAAATGGACCCATGAAAACTTTTGGGTCTCTCCAAACGAGACAAAGTTGTTTTTAACTCGATAACATATTGGACATACCTCCCTGACCCATAAATAACTCCTGCAGGGAGATGGGAAACCCTTCTGTGTCGGATGCAATACGGATTTTACCATTAGACACATACTAATAGAATGTTCGGATTTTGGATATATTTTATATGTAAAAAATTAAAAGATCTATTCCATGCTGTTGATCCCAAGAGAATTCTCGATTTTATGAAGGCCATTGGCCTTTATCGAAAGGTGTAGACATTGTTATATTAATTTAATATAAATTTGTGGTGGTTTTTTAACCTCTTCGCTGCCGCATCAGTGGAATTTGCGGGCCTGAACCGAATAGCGCTGTGCCTATGGCCCATAGGATTTACGGGATTGTGACAGAGGTTGTTTTAATACCGATTATAAGGGAAGTCACTGCTAAAATCTTGTAATTACTTTTGAAGTTCCTTCCCTTTATGTTTACCTCCGTTTTCCCTCCATTTGAAAGCATCAGATTCAGATTTTAGCTCAAAGAGAACATTAGATCTAGATATACACATCTACCACACAAAAGTGATTTACTGGCAGTGCACACAGATGGACTTACACATATATGAGAGCCATCGTGGTGAAATCAGGCATCATCAAAATAATAAAATTGAAGAAAAGGGCATTTTCTACCACCAGTTTGGCATTTTTTAAATAGAAAATGGGTTTTTTTTTTGGCTAAACATCTTTTACGTTCATTTGAAAACACATTTCCATGTGAATTTTACTGAAAACCCTTGTTTAGTTTAAGGCACAAAATACGCACTTTTCAGTTTTCAAGGACTTTTAAGCTATTGAAGTTACCAAACTTTGGCGGCCTTTTCCTCATTAATTTAACCACTGAAACCAGACTACCCCACCTTCAATCGCAAATATCTTGACATCTATTTAATTTTTTTTTTATTGAAAGCAACGAAAATGAATAAGCTTTAAGATGATATCAATAACTCCACACGTCCAAAAATTGACGAGCGCTTTGGTTCACGGGATTTCCCCCGGCACAGTGGCCTATTTACCTGCGGCATTGAAGGGGTTAAAACTGAAATTTTTGCCATAAAATTTTTAACTTTTTAACCTGACCACTGAACAAAATCAAGCCGTATGGTGAACTGTTGTGAATGCAGCCAACTGGTGTTTTGCGTACTTATATAATCCTATGCAGCTGCAAGCGCTGTAAAACTCTCACTAAAACAAACATGACCTGCGGTATAACCCTACTTGACAACCTAAGAGAACCTCGGGAAAAGCAGCATATAGGTTGAAAACTATCCTGTCCCTCACCTTCTCCCCACACTTTTCACAGAAGTAAGCGTTTGCCCCTTCCAGCAGCTCTCCTTTCACAAACTGCTCCAAAGAGTCTTGCAACGTGGCATTCTTCACAGTCAGATTCAGGGCAATAAATGCCTCCTCTCTCTCATACCTGGAAATTTAAAAAACACACAATTTATAGCAGCATGTTTTCCTTAAAAAACAAATGTCTTCTCTCTCTTAATTGGGATAGAGGAGATAAATGCACTGTTTTGTAAGCCCCATTTTAAAAAATAATTTGTAGATGTGGTCTGTTCCATATATTTCTTCTTCATGTTCCCAAAGTCATTATCCTCTCCTGATGAAAAAAGTAAAATGTGCATATTACCATGCCCCCCACCACAAAGCACAGCAATAATTTTCAACGTTGGTTTTTTTTTGGGGTGGTTTTTTTCCCCCAGAGATGCTGCAGTTCGCTATTCTTAGCTGCTACTAAGATCTAATACACTGTAGGCTTGAGTATGTTTGAATATGGAGAAACATACCGAGACACAATACTAGCCATTAAAAACCAGAGAGAGAGAAAGTAAGATAGACAGAAACAACGGGGAGGGGGGACCTACCAGTAGCACTGTCCAATCACTCATATTGTATGCCTTTTCAAGTGAAATAAAAGACAAGACCAGACAAAAATGACTAAATAATAGATAAGGAATTGGGGACACAAGATAGTATTGCAGGAGGGAAAAAAAAAAGAAAAACCAGAGTAATTATCTTGACAACAAGCAAGTTAAACTTAGGACAAAACAGAGAGACATTTTACATTTCGCTCCATTCTGTCTTCCCACATTCAAATTTTCCATGTGATTATGCTTTAAAGAGCGCACTACACTACAGATTTGAATGGCCATTTGATGCCTTTCACTGGAAGAACAAAAAAGAAAAAGAAAGAAAAAAAACCCTACCTGTGGGGGCAATCCTTGCATATCTTCTGATCAGAAAATATTCCCTGGAACTTTTTCTTGAAGATCTCACCCTTTCCACTTGCCTGAGTTTGTGAAAAAATGAAATAAGAAAAAAGTATTATATAATATTAATAATGAAAATGAGATGCAGTTAATAAAAGTATTTTAAATAAAGAGTTATATCCCTTGTCAGTATTGGCACCCTCATCACAATTAAATCAGTTATTTCCCTTGCCTTAATTATTCCCCTTTATTTCACATTCAATGCAGTACAAAATAGCGATAATCTTGTTTCCGTTGCATGTTCACTTTGAAATGCAGAACGCACGGGTACAAAAGTTTTTCCGGTATAAATATAAAAATGTGTTCATTATGTATACAATGCATTCAAATTAATAATGAGTGTTCAATTATTGTACCACACCATAACTGTAGGACAACTTCACATTGATTGAAACTGGAATTCTTGCACCACTCAATAAAAGGGCCTCTGCCGATCATGGCACACGGGATGGCTAAACGGCCGTAAGTCCTGTGCGGAATCGCAATCAAGAGATTTCGGAGGCAAAATTTTTATATCTTGAGGCTGCTGGTGCTCGCTATGCCCGGCGCCCTTATAAGACCAAATGACAATATAATGGATATCAGTCCAAAAGACACTGCGAACCTGCAGAGAATCATTGTTAGGGGGGTAGGTACGGAATAAACATTTCTAGGTTCTCACCCTTGACCAGGCAAAATGCCAAATTTTGTCAAGCCCGGGCATTAGAGGTGTGCGAGTCCAGCATATTAAGATTCGAGTCCAGACTCGAGTATCTGCTCTGGACTCGAGTATCTGCTCTGGACTCGAGTAATTACTCGAGTAATTACTCGAGTCCCACGGCTCTTAAGACTCGAGTTATTACTCGAGTAATAGTATCCCGAAACGGAATTTTAGTGGGTTTCAAAAAAGGTTTTGTTGAATATCGGACAGAAAATAGAGTGCCTTCCTAGGAGGTAGCTTGAGTAGGCTTATGGCAATTCTAGACATATGCTGTTTATACCGTATTTATTTTATTTTATCTTAGGAAGTGGCTATTCTCACCCCAGGTGAGAATAAAAATGTGATCGACCTCTCACCCCGGGTGAGACTAGCCAGTGTTGGCTATTCTCACCCGCTGTGAAACAAAACCGAGTGTTCCTAATTTCTGAATACTTCCTATCGGTGAGGATGATTAAATAGACAAACCCCTTTTTAAAAAAATGATATTATAACACAAAAGTAAAACTAATTTGGTGGTCTACAATGATGCTACGGCTGTTTCACTTTTAGAATAGAGCCGAACTACCCTAATCGGCATTTTGTTTTGCCCAGAAGTTCTCGCTATATCTAGGCTACTCCTCTCTCTCTCTCTCTCTCTCTCTCTCTTTCAATGCCCGCAGATAAAATTGCATGTTTTTAACACAAGAGGACTGGAACGTTTGTTTACACGACAGAATTCAATTCTTTTTAAAGTGTAGATCTAGAATTCTGTGGTTTACACTGGGTATCACATTACGGTAAACGCACACATGAAGAGAATAGCCAAAAGGCTCGCTCTCTCACCCCGGGTGAGTGAGAAGCTTACAACTGTATAACAACTAAGCTAGAATAGAGGTAGTCTTCATCTTATCTTATCTTATTTTTTATTTTTTTAAAATAATTCTTTGTTACAACAGTAAGAATAAAATGTACACAATCTGTAAACCTCAGACAATGCACTTCATAAAAGAAAGAAGTTTGATTGGTCATCGTGGGTTTCTAACAGTGGTTTCCTTTTTGCTTTTTTCTGGGGGGGGGGGGGTTCGGTTTTTTCCTTTGGGGAAGGGGTATTTTTTTGTTGTTTTTTTTTGTTCCTTTTCCTTCAGTTTTAAAAAAATTGCTTATCAGAATTTTTCTTTTATCAATTATTAACTTTTTTAAAAACCAAATTTTTCTCCTTTTTTCTGTTTTTCCCCTACAGACTCGAGTCTGGACTCGAGTCCTTACTTGAGTCCTTACTCGAGTAATTTACTTGTGACTCGAGTCTGGACTCGCCCAATGTATTACTCGAGTACTCGAGCCTGGACTCGTTACTCGCACACCTCTACTGCTGGTGCTCGCTATGCCCGGCGCCCTTATAAGACCAAATGACAATATAATGGATATCAGTCCAAAAGACACTGCGAACCTGCAGAGAATCATTGTTAGGGGGGTAGGTACGGAATAAACATTTCTAGGTTCTCACCCTTGACCAGGCAAAATGCCAAATTTTGTCAAGCCCGGGCATTAGAGGTGTGCGAGTCCAGCATATTAAGATTCGAGTCCAGACTCGAGTATCTGCTCTGGACTCGAGTATCTGCTCTGGACTCGAGTAATTACTCGAGTAATTACTCGAGTCCCACGGCTCTTAAGACTCGAGTTATTACTCGAGTAATAGTATCCCGAAAGGGAATTTTAGTGGGTTTCAAAAAAGGTTTTGTTGAATATCGGACAGAAAATAGAGTGCCTTCCTAGGAGGTAGCTTGAGTAGGCTTATGGCAATTCTAGACATATGCTGTTTATACCGTATTTATTTTATTTTATCTTAGGAAGTGGCTATTCTCACCCCAGGTGAGAATAAAAATGTGATCGACCTCTCACCCCGGGTGAGACTAGCCAGTGTTGGCTATTCTCACCCGCTGTGAAACAAAACCGGGTGTTCCTAATTTCTGAATACTTCCTATCGGTGAGGATGATTAAATAGACAAACCCCTTTTTAAAAAAATTATATTATAACACAAAAGTAAAACTAATTTGGTGGTCTACAATGATGCTACGGCTGTTTCACTTTTAGAATAGAGCCGAACTACCCTAATCGGCATTTTGTTTTGCCCAGAAGTTCTCGCTATATCTAGGCTACTCCTCTCTCTCTCTCTCTCTCTCTTTCAATGCCCGCAGATAAAATTGCATGTTTTTAACACAAGAGGACTGGAACGTTTGTTTACACGACAGAATTCAATTCTTTTTAAAGTGTAGATCTAGAATTCTGTGGTTTACACTGGGTATCACATTACGGTAAACGCACACATGAAGAGAATAGCCAAAAGGCTCGCTCTCTCACCCCGGGTGAGTGAGAAGCTTACAACTGTATAACAACTAAGCTAGAATAGAGGTAGTCTTCATCTTATCTTATCTTATTTTTTATTTTTTTAAATAATTCTTTGTTACAACAGTAAGAATAAAATGTATACAATCTGTAAACCTCAGACAATGCACTTCATAAAAGAAAGAAGTTTGATTGGTCATCGTGGGTTTCTAACAGTGGTTTCCTTTTTGCTTTTTTCTGGGGGGGAGGGGGTTCGGTTTTTTCCTTTGGGGAAGGGGTATTTTTTTGTTGTTTTTTTTTGTTCCTTTTCCTTCAGTTTAAAAAAAATTGCTTATCAGAATTTTTCTTTGATCAATTCTTAACTTTTTTAAAAACCAAATTTTTCTGCTTTTTTCTGTTTTTCCCCTACAGACTCGAGTCTGGACTCGAGTCCTTACTCGAGTCCTTACTCGAGTAATTTACTTGTGACTTGAGTCTGGACTCGCCGCATGTATTACTCGAGTACTCGAGCCTGGACTCGTTACTCGCACACCTCTACCGGGCATGTTTATCACCAAAGATATGTCTTGTACTTTTATTTATGTTTAAAAGTTTGAAGTAATCAGTGGTATCAGTTTATAATCCCTAACAACAGGATTTACGACCAAGTCCAACAGTTATTATGATTTTATTTATCTTAAAAAAATTTTTTTATCGCAATGGTGCCTTCATTTGGTAAAAACAGAATTCAAACATTACCACAAATACTATAACACAGTTCCACGTCTTACTCCAATTCGACAAAGAAATCGTAATAGCAGAAAGGTCAGAGAGAAAAGACAACAGTTGATAACCCAGATTTCCCAAACTACTGAGATATTACTCTGAGCTACTAGACCATACAATGTTCTCATCTCCCAACAACCATGGGAAGGAAACAAAATGGACATACAGTCGAACCTGCCAAGACGGCCACCTTACGATTTCCCCCCATGCGTTTTTTCTATACAATTTAACTGTGTAAAACGGGCATCTGTCCAAAGCGGCCACCCTTTTTTATCAACCCACGGTCAAATTTACCTGCCTCAGGCGGCTAGGCGTGTTCACTCATTGCCTGACGCTTTGTCATAAATTTTGAATTGACCCCTGATGCTGTGGACAGGCCGTCATAATTCATTCATCTGTCGTTATTGTTAGTCCCTCCACTGAATGTTTACCCAAGTTCACCGATGGGTAGACATAACAATAAATTTTCAACTGCTGGAGAGGGAAGCGCGATTCGTCATAACCTATAAGCCCCGCCCACAACCCATGCACAAATCATGTGTGAGGTGACTGGTCACTGTTTTGATTACCTAATCTGTACCAAAGTAACAATGGACGTTGACGTAAACTGGCAACAGAAGTGTCGCTCATTCTCTGAGTGGTGGCGACTCATGTGTTTGTTTTACCATGGCACTCAGTCTTCATCGTCTTACTTACATAATAGATATATATATTCGTAACAAAATCAGCAACAAAAAGAAAGCTTACCAAAAAACAAACCAACAAAACAACACAAAAACCCTTCTTACACCACCCAACCCCTTTTTTCAAAAGAAAACAAAAACCCTTTTGAATTATCCTTAAGCAGTCTAAAGTCTGAGATCAGCCCCGGTTTGGACCAAAGAAAAGAATTATTTGCTTTCTTCATTTTGAACAGTCCCGCCTAAGACGGCCACCTGTGTTATGCGGCCACTTTTCTCCTTGACAATGGGTGGCCGTTTTACACTTGTTTGACTGTATTTTCTAAGAGATATTCTGTTATGAAATAATTCTGTTTCACATTTTTCATTTTAAAGGTTCTAGTTATTTTTTTCAGCTTCAAGCAAATTAAATTTGGCTATCCCTGGTATTCAGTTTCAAGTGTCACCACTGTCATAAAACAATTGCCCAAGGCAATTCATTGTTTTGCTTTAAGAAAATCCACACAAAAAATAATAAACTGAGCTTCCCATCCTGCGAAATCAAGTACATAAGGCAAGTACTGTAGTCTACGTCTAAGATCCCAGTGGTTGGGAGCAAGGAAAATGCGGAAATGGGATCTTAGCCGACGGATCAAGGAAAGAATCTACTTTGACCTATCTTAAGGCTCACAACCGGTAAAATGGTCCCCCTTCACTCTAAAATGAACTGACGTGACACATGGATAGATTTATGACTAATGGCGAGCAAAAAGTGGTTGACCAAGCACAGTAGCATGAGGCGTGTCATTTTCACTTATTATCCTATCCTGAGTCTCAAGATTTACTCTTATCCAGTGGCTCCTCCCCTTCACCTGTCTGAAAAGTATAGCTTTCCATCTCTGACAGAGTTCCCCACCTTTGTCATTACGTACCAATGAGCCTGACCACACCAATTAAAATTCAGTCGGTCTCGTAAATTCGGAAGACAAATGCTGCAATGGTCAGGGAAGAGTTCACAGTTCGATGTGGTCCTGCCTGGTGCTAACTTTTGAAGGCCCTACCCACTCAGTGTGTGATGTAAGTTTCGGTGGAGAGCTCAGAAGCGAGTGGGATGTTTGGAGAAAACAAACACGTTGGCAAGTCCACAGATTGGTGTGACCCTGGGTGGGGCAAGGATTTACAACGCACATGGTGACAACATTCACCAGAGTGGTTGATCTGTGACTCTAGGGGCGGTTCAAAGATCGCAAATTTTTACTATGAGCTAATGTGCTATGCCCGTCTGAGGTTTTTTTCCGTACATTATGATCCGAAATGTGGGATCTTAACCAAATGTAGCCTATTGTAGACCTTCAGAGCAGGATCTTTGGGGTGACTTTTGTTTAGTAAAAATTCAGATTTTTTTTAAAAACCAGTGGGATCTTAGGCAAAACCGGGATCATAAGCGGTGGGATCTTAGGCAAAACCAGGATCATAAGCAGTGGGATCTTAGGCAAAACCGGGATCATAAGCAGTGGGATCTTAGGCAAAACCGGGATCATAAGCAGTGGGATCTTAGGCAAAACCGGGATCATAAGCAGTGGGATCTTAGGCAAAACCGGGATCATAAGCAGTGGGATCTTAGGCAAAACCGGGATCATAAGCAGTGGGATCTTAGGCGGAGACTACTGTAACAGACATTTTTACAGTATCAAAAACAAGAAACCTGAAAAAGATTACTCAGGCAATTGTTTCCTGCCTGTGACGATGTGATAGCATTGATGCTATGTACAGCTCATGCCAACAGAACCAATCACGTCTACCGACCTTCATGTGTTCATCAATCTGGTCCAAGACTGCCTGGAAGAAGTCAAAGGAGTCCTGCTGCTCCCGGATGTTGACCGTGTGGCCCCAAAGTTTGAACACAGACCAGAACTTCTCCGGCTCGTGGTACTGCAGTCGGCTCTCCATGAGATGGCCAAACATCAGCTGGATCTGATAGAACACGCTGGGGACATGACACCAATCAAACAGTTAAGATGAGATGAGACGAGAGATGAGATAAGATTAGATGATACTTTATTGTCCCAGTGAGGGAAATTTTTCTTGGCTGTACAGGAATGGTGAAAAAACATGTAGATATACGTAGAATTGAAATTATATATTATTTTAATAAAATATTCAAAACACAGAGACACTGAATAAGCCTCATCACCACTGAACAGCTCCGGAAGAGTGCTTAACTGTTATTTTGAACTAGGAAAAAAAAGAGTACTGAAAATCATTTTTCTTAATAAAATATAGGCAATGCTTTTCAGTGTACATTTTTTTCCTCCACCTCCTTCTCCTTCTCCTCCTCCTCTCCTCCTTCTTCTTCTTCAAGAGTCAGATCTGAAACAGACATCGGCAAACATGTCTTACATTTCCTTAGTAATTCTGGGCACTTGAAATTATAAGAGAGATGGAGCGTCTACATTTGTCCCAATATAAACCCATCAAGTCTCTTTTTTAAATCTGTTCAGCAAATCAAACAAAACTCTGGGAACTGATTAACCACAACTAAAATTTTTACCCCCTACATATATAAATATTATACATATATCTACAGATATCTCAAGAAAAATCCTCTTATCGTGAGACATCATGGCAAAATCAAGTGCTCGTCAAAATACTGAAATCGAAGACATCGTCATTTCTCCGTAGGTTTCGCAATTCTTATCACCTTTTATTTTTGGCTTATCAAACTTTATGTACATTTTAAAATACATTTATGTGTGGATTTTTATTGAAAAACGTTGAGTAAGGAACAAAAAATGTAAATTTTCATTGCCAAGGACACTACAGCTTTGGATGTGACCAAACTTTGGTGGCCATTTTCTAGTTAATTTTACCCATACACCAGGCTACCCCCACCTCCTTCAATCGATAGTATCTCGACTTAAATTTAAGATAGATGAGTACTTTATTCATAGAAAACAAGACAAACGAACAATCTTTAAGATGATACCAATAACTCCACAAACCCAAAAATTGACAAGCGCTCGATTCCACCACGCGTGACACATATGATTCTGCACATTCCACTATAAAACATCCTTTCTTGAACAAATCGTAGTTTAGTTTTTAATTTGAGGTCTAGTCTCAGTGACTGTTACAACTTGAAACACACGAAACATATCACAACAAAATATATTTAAGGTTAAGCAAGACCTCCTCACCCTCCTGCCTGAGCCCTGACTCGACACACCCCACCTTTTTCACAAAATGACATTTTACCTATCACCAAACATCACTTTACATCTCGCTACCCTAGAATTTCAAAGTGCTATCTGCCCAGTAGGCTACCTAGTTTTCAGAAATTTGACAAGAAAAAATTTTGACTTTCACAACATGTCAAGCTTTTTCGAATGCAATTCTTGGAATATCTTAATAATGACTCCCATTAATCTTTTAATTTTGATGGAGCAGATACAACGTTTGGGTAACATTTGTGACGTGTGCTGACAAAATGAGTTGTTTCTCGCATTTGAGCCCAGTGGAAATAGATACATCACGCTTATAGGTTAAGCTTTTACAATTTATAAGTATGAAATAATGAGACATGTTATACTTAAAGAATATTGCATCAATAGAAAATAAATTAATTTGACCCTAGGGTTGATTTTTGGCCAATATCTCCATGTGTGGATTGGGAGAAGTAACTCATTTTGTCAGCATGCCTCACATTTGGTTTCTGACCTCAAAGTCTTAGTAACTCAAAAATGGCCCAACATGTCAAATAGAACTTTGTATTTCTAAGGTAGCGATCTGTGTGTGTCAGTATCTATGTGTTTCAGTATGTTTCGGTATCTGCATGTCTCAGTATCTGCGTGTATCAGCATCTGTGTGTTTCAGTATCTGTGTGTCAGTACATTGTATTTCAGTATCTGTGTGTGTCAGTACATTGTGTGTCAGTATCTGTGTGTGTCAGTATCTGTGTGTATCAGTATCTGTGTGTTTCAGCATCTGTGTGTCAGTACATTGTGTGTCAGTATCTGTGTGTGTCAGTATCTGTGTGTGTCAGTATCTGTGTGTTTCAGTATCTGTGTATGTCAGTATCTGTGTGTGTCAGTATCTGTGTGTGTCAGTATCTGTGTGTCAATACATTGTGTGTCAGTATCTGTGTGTGTCAGTACATTGTGTGTCAGTATCTGTGTGTGTTGGTATTTGTGTCTTTCAGTATCTGTGTGTGTCAGTATCTGTGTGTGTCAGTATCTGTGTGTTTCAGTATCTGTGTGTTTCAGTATCTGTGTGTGTCAGTATCTGTGTGTGTCAGTATCTGTGTATGTCAGTATCTGTGTATTTCAGTATCTGTGTGTGTCAGTATCTGTGTGTGTCAGTATCTGTGTGTGTCAGTATCTGTGTGTGTCAGTATCTGTGTGCGTCAGTATCTCCACTCTCTCCCCACCTGTCTTCCTCCGGCTCGTCCTCGTCCACAGACAGAACAGCCTCAGGGATGCCGGGCGTCATATACAGCTGCTGCAACACCGAGTTCATGTAGCAGGTGGCGCCACCATTCTTCAAGCCCACATAGCCGCAGGCTGCACGCCCATCCACAGGAGGCATGTACTAAACGAGGAAAAACATAAAGCAGTAGTAAGGCTAAATACCAAAATACACACGAAAGTTGTACGAAATATCAACATTAGTAATACTAAATACCAAACTACACAGGTCGTTGTTGTATTAAATATCAACATTAGTAATACTAAATACCAAATTACACAGGCAGTTGTTGTATTAAAGATCAACATTAGTAATACTAAATACCAAAACATACAAGGTATGTGCTGTTGCACTAAATATCTTTACTTTACTTTTATTTACCGCTTATACCCTTTTGGGTGTAGCGGGAAGAAAGAGACGTCTCTCTGTTGCCAGCCGGAGAGCTTGGGTCAGGGGGATGCCGTGGGTGGTTAAATCACTGAATATCAACTTTCACAAAGTGGTAGTTGTACTAAGTCACATTTACTCCATGATACATAGCACTTTGAGACTAATCTCATTCTCTCCTCCCTCATTTCCCATTCTCTAGCATTGTTAGTTCGTATACTCCACAACCATCAGAATAAAAAAATGTTGGCTTAAAATATCCTACTGTAAGTTTCACATTGTATTCTACACTTCAATTTTGAGTGCAAAATATGTTATGACAAAGCTCATCCTCTCCTCTCTTGCCTTCCCTTCTTCACTAGACAAAGCTCATCCTTTTAGCATGACTAATTTTATCCTTTCCTCTCTTACCTCCCATTCTTTAGCATGACTCATCTCCTCCTCTCCTCTCTTACCTCCTAATCTTAAGCATGACAAAATTCATCCTCTCCTCCTTTACCTCCCATTCTTTAACATGACATTTCCCATCTCCTCCCTTACCTCCCATTCTTTAGCGTTGTCAGTGAGCTGATGGTGCATCATGAGCAGCTCTTTGCCAATCAGCTGCAGGCTGGCCAGACATTTGTTGGAGAGCTCGGCCAAGAGTTCATGGGCGGCCACACGTGACTCTGAATTGGAACACCTTTAGGGAGTACAAAAAGGTGGCAAGTTAATTAAAGCAAAAATCTCAGTCAGTGCTGGGGAAAAAAATAAAGATTAGTAACATCTACAGACAGGCATCAGGAGCGATGCATTGAGCACTCAACAACTCTAATTTCATCAAAAAGCTCAAACCAAACACAAAACTGCTACTCCATCACTATTTAATTTTGTTTTGTTAAATAAAAAACTTAAGGAAAAAAAAAAGAGAATATCCCCGAAGCATGTGAACAGCGAACTTACTTTGGATTAAACTCAGCCAGGTTGTGGTCCTGTGCGGTCTGGTTCATGCTGTCCAACATGAGCTTGGAGGCCGGGAACAAGAAGTCGTGCAGGAGATCACTCACTAGGCCCGAGCCTGAAAACAACAGACAGAGTTTTTAGTTTTAGTTAAGAGTTTGATGGCATTTGCAACATAATTAAGTCATGTAAATGACGACGGTGTTATTTGTTTTAGTAAGGTTTTACGGCGCTTGCAACTGCATGAGGTCATATGGGCGCCAAGGGGTGGGTGTCAACAGAAAACTCAAAAACGGGGAATCACGCTACTCTGCTCACCTCTCTAGCCTCAACAGCACAAATTCTGCTTCGACTATCAAGGCACCCAGGAAATAGGAAGTTCACAAGGGAGTGACAATACAAAAAAAATAGAGGAAGAAATGACGATAGTAAGGATGAGGAAAGAAAAAGCAGCAGTTCCACCTATGTCGTTCCGGCACAGTATGAGCATGACATTGATAAATCAGCCCATTTACAATTCTACTGTGCATAAGAACATGTTAATATGGTGTTACTAAAGAGTGACACACAAAGACAAAAGATAAGGACAGTAGAGGTATGAAGGTACAAATCACATCAGAGCACCTGCCAACCACCTACAACAGCAACAGAGGGAAACAAAACCAAAACATTTAAATCAATTATCAAACACTGATTCAATCCTACCTTTCTCACTGCCATTTACATCCTTTACTAAATCACAAGAAGTCTTTAACTTCAACAAGAAAAGACTATGTCTAATAATTACATTTTTCGAATAAAAAATAAGAACCATCATCATCATCTGCACATTCTAGTGCATGATACATTTCCAAAGAAGCATCACAAACCTTCCCTTCACAGTACCAGCTTTCTGGCTATTTAATATTATGACAAAACTTTCCTGTACATCTTTCTCGATTTGCCTTTATCCACAATCGTTTCTTCAGTAACAATACATTTCAGGCTGTCATTTCTTTCCAAATGAACACAGCTCAAAAGTTTCCCAAAGTTCCGTACCGTGCTCCACCTTGTCCACTCCCTCACAGGTGAGCAGCGTGCGGATCAGCTTGAGGTGTCCGGCCAGCAGCGTGTTATCCGTCTGGCGTAGGTCCGTGTGTCGCGAGGGGACAAAGTTGCTGAGCCAGGCAATCTCGTCCTCCAGCATGCTGTTCACGTCAAAGTTGAGTTTCTTCTGCTCCGACACTGACAGATTGAAAACAAAGAAAATAATATCACGCGGAACAAGAACATTAATGATCATTGCATTTATATAGCGCATATCCATGCTCAAGAGCATGCTCTATGCGCATTACAACTATTATTACCCCAGCTGACCCTCTGAGAACACTCAGAAACATTCTCAGATTCCGCGGAAGCATACAGTGCAAGCTGCTGATTTCACGCGCTCAAACACTATCAAACTGACAAGAACATTCACTGTCTATAGCCGGGTACCCATTTCCACCTGGGTGAAGTGAGGAAAATTTGTGCAAAGTGCCTTTCCCAAGGACACAACGTCAGGCCCCTGACGGGATTCGAACCCACGACCTTACGGTTGCGAGTCCGAGAGCCTAACCACTAGGCCACCGACGCCTTATAAGTCAATATGTCTCAAAGAAAGAAGTCGATATGAGCATAGAAAGAAAGATAGAGATCAACAGGAGCAAAAGAAAGAAAGACAGAGATTAGAATTAGAACTATTATCCCACATTCCGTTACCAATAGAAAATAAAAAGCTTAAAACTTTAGTTTCTGTTCAATTTATCCATTTGCAATCATGCTGGTACATTCATTGAATATAGAGGTATTGACAAAATAAACTAAGATAGAAAGACAATTGCTTTTTCACTTGAACCACATCTTCAAAAAGGTCAACTTGACTCAGATTCATATACACTAGTTTTTTTTCATTCAAACAGCAGTTGTCTCGTAGAACATTAGACTGAGCTACGACACACCCCACAGGAAACAGCTGCGCTCACTTACGCGACAAGTTCTCCAAGAGTCGACATCTCAGCTCAAAATACTGCGAACACTGGGTCAGCAGTCTGAAAGAGACAGAAACATTAACATCTTTAATTTTAAGCCCTCATCAACACACAAAGAAAGATCTTTTAAGAGGCAGATTGGTTCAACTCTGCCCGTCAGGGTCAGCCTGGGCAGAATGGGACAAATCTCAGTGGACAGATGGAAGTACTCAATATATCTTCCTTGTATGTGAATCAAACTCTTATCCTTCGCCTACTACATGGAGAGTCTAACTTTATCACTTCAGAAGCGAGAGAGAAAAGCAAACAAGGCAATATGTGAAGACACATACACATGGTGCTCTGAGCAAAATACTTCCTAGATCATCACAATTTCTAGCTCAAATAAAAAGTAAAAATGTTTAAAACTTGCATATTCATACATGTCACAAATCAAAGATACTCCAAAGAACTAAAGACTTTACATCCGACATACATACGGTACATAAACGATGATTCTATACACAAAACAAGTACCCTAGACTTGGTATCTCAGTGCATAAACCCACTGGAGTAAGTCAATATTTTTTTAATTCCATTTCCTGAAAATAAGCCTTACCAGACTTAACTGTTTTGTCCCAAAGAGTGTAAATATGACTGAAACAAACTAAACAGGGAAGTAACGAAAATTGTTAACACCTTTGAATTGAAGTACTATAAAGAATGTTCGGAGACTGCCAAGGACTGAACATATTTTAAATGATAAAGAAAAAAAAAATTGGCTGAAACATTCAAAACATTTAAATCATAAAGCAAAAGCAACAGAACTCTAACATTTCTACAGAACATAAGTCCTTTACAACACAACTCACTTTTGAGTGGTGCCTCTGACATTGGAAGAGGTGACCCAGAAGGGGAGGTAAGCTTTCAACAGTAGTTGCAAGATAAACTGTCGTGGTGTTTGTACCGACTCTGCCTCGTCGGACGAGGACAACTCCAACTGTGCGAGGGCGACCAGCTGAGCCAGGGTGGCGTTCCTGATGTTAGCCAGTGGGCAGCCCACCAGAAGGTCTAGGATAAAGTCGCTCACACAGGGCATGGTGTAGAACGAAGCTGGGAGGGAACAAACACAATCCAGATAAAACACAATCCAGATAAAACACAATCCAGATAAAACACAATCCAGATAATACAATCCAGATAAAACACAATCCAGATAAAACAATCCGCATAAAACACAATCCAGATAAAACAATCCAGATAATACAATCCAGATAATACAATCCAGATAAAACACAATCCAGATAAAACACAATCCAGATAACACAATCCAGATAAAACACAATCCAGATAATACAATCCAGATAAAACACAATCCAGATAAAATACAATCCAGATTAAACACAATCTAGATAAAACACAATCCAGATAAAACATAATCCAGATAAAATACAATCCAGATAACACATTCCACAATCCAGATAAAAAGCAATCCAGAAAAACAACCCAGATAAAACCTAATCCAAAGCAATCCAGATAAAACAATCCAGATAAAACAATCCAGATAAAAACAGATAAAAATGAAAGAAAAAAATCAAAGTTTTTCAACCCTTTCCTGCTCAAGCCCACCAAAATCTTCCCCGTCAAAAGAGTGGCTATAGCATTCAACCCAGCTGAAACCTCCAGGGCACACACCTTGTTTCTTTCTTCAATGGTAAGCTTCACAACGACAAAAATAGATCAGAATTTACTTTTACTACACCACATCCACTGGAAGTTGAAAGAAACAGGTGGCCATTGAAGGCAAAAAATCTGAACAGGAAAGTATTGAGCAGCAAAATGTCCAGTTTGTCAAGTATGAGCCTTTGATAGTACCCAGCAATAATTCTATGTTTAGAAAAGTTTCTGTTTTTAAATCAATAAGATGAATATTTGGAGTATTTTTCTTTTAGTCAGAACACGTTTTATGTTACTGTTGTGCGTAGTACTGTATTGTAAAGCAATTACAGCCTGTGTACTTTAATCATGGTTGAGCGCTATATAAATGTATTTATTATTAGGCCTATTATTAAAAGTCAGTTTTTTATCCCAAAAAAAAAGAATAATCATTAAATCCAGTGTAAGTCAGATGTAACCCAGTTTCCATAAACCAGACTTAATTACAAATTAAGTAGAAAATAATCACACACAAAAAAATACAATCCGAGTGGATCTGATGAAACTAAGCAATAAATCCACCTTAGTCTGCTTCATACAAAAGTAGTGTTATAGATCAAGAGGGCGAAATTTTCCATACACCGATACTGTCGGTGTTAGGGTTGGAGCGTTGAGCGCACATACGGATATTATTGACGTTAGGGCTGAGTGAGTTAAGAGGAAATCTACAAGCTTGCTCTGAAACATGGGGACAAGATGGTGTTTAATATACTAGAGCTCGTGAGGAGCGGGGTGGGGGCTCAGATGGTTAATGTAAATGGTAGAGCCCGTGCCACGCTGATGAGGGAAAGAAGACACCCAATGTATGACACGAGCGATGTCACTGTTGCGAGCTCCAGTAGTACATATAACCTCTTTGGGGGCTGAGTGCACCAAAGCTCACCGAGCAATTCCTTCCTGAGCTGCAGACAAGTGATGAGAATCTCCAGCGCCTCACGGGCAATGTTGGCATCCTTGGTGGGGATGTTCACCTGGTGGGAGCACACGCCTGCGTGCAGAGACTGGCAGTCGCTGTCGCTGTTGGTCGATGCTGAGCTACCTGGAAACAAAAAAATACACACATGAGTCAATGCAGGTTCTTAAAAATATTGGTATGCAGTAATTTTAGAAACTACAAGCATACATAAAAGCACAAAAAAATAATAAAAAGCTAAAAGAAGACGATCATCAACAAGTTCACTGGAAAAGTTTCAAGGATAAGAAGAAACACTACAAGATTTTTGTAACTTGTTGCCAAAAGACAGAACTGGAGAAAAGAAGTCCACATAGATCAGAGAATACAGTTTGTTTGCTTGTGTGAGTAAAGAGAAGCACATTGACACAATGACAGTCATTGCGTGCTGGGAATACATTTAAAAAGACTGAAAAAAATAACAGAAGGGAAAGCTGTCGTGATTCTAAGCTAGTTCTTAAAACCATTGGTATGCCACCCATTTAGACGGTACTTGCACATTGAATTAGAACACAATAAAAAGCTAAGGGTCCTAAATATTATAGACAAGTTTTCAAATCAGCAGTGAATAGACAAGACTGGAATCCTAAAATGTTTATGCCAGTTTTACAATTTAAAAAGCTGCATAAATCTCCGTTTAAAAGTATGTAAAAGTGTGTTAATGCATGTTTGTTGGGGGGGGGGAGATAAGATAAGAAAGATTTAAGTTTAAATTGGAGAGAAGGATACAGATTGTAAACACCACAGAATGTTTATTATGTTGAAATGCAGTATGAAAAAAAGACCTACTATAATTATTATCATTATTACTCCATAAAAACGCGAACACTTGACCCACCTGTGCTACTTTGCCTGCTTCGGTGGCCACACCCAAATCCATCACGACTCTCTTTGATTGGCTGGTTGTAGCTGAGGAGGTGGAGCCTGCCAGCAGCCGCCGCCCATGTGACCTTCATGAAACAGGAGACGGTGTCCACAAACTCCTGTGTACTCAGAGTCTGGAAAAAGTAGAGTGTTTAGTTTTAGTAAGGTTTTACGGCGCTCGCAACTGCATACGGTCATATGAGCTCCAAACATGAGAGTATGGCCGGAAAAATATTGTTACATGAGAGTATGGCCGGATAAATATTGTTACATGAGAGTATGGCCGGATAAAATATTGTTAGGTTTTTGTAACAATTGTAAATATACTACCCTATAAATTACAAAACAAGCATGAATTGACACCCCCCCCCCCCTCCCCTTTCCAATTTCCCAAGTAAAACAACTATTCTTGGAATTCTTTTTTTAGGTATCTGTGCATTATCATTTCCACTGAAACTGAACTGTATTACCTGTATTATTACCTGTCCTGGGCAACAACGTCATTGCACACCAGACATGAAACTGAAGAAATGTGAAACAGTAATATTTTTTCAAGTCAAATTTTGAAATTTAAACCAACAGTTTGTCAGGGTCGGGGTGAGGGGCAGGATAAGAGAGGGATTTTTTTCCTTAGAAGTCAAATTTAAAAACATGCAATCATTCGCCTGTGTTCATAGACTCTACACCATTTCCTCACCTGAACCGCCTGGCTCCACATGCTGGTGTTGATAATGCTGCCGCTGTTGTTGCTGTTGCTGGCACCGCTGCTCGCCCCACCGGCAGAGGGAGAAGCTTTCAGGTCAGCCGCTGCTGATGCCGACGCTGCTGGCCCTGAGACTGACTCTTCTCTTTGCAACTCGGGAATAGAACCCCCGGTCACTGTCTGCCCACACAGCAGATATCTGGGAGGAGAGGAAGGAATCAATGAATTAATCATATAAAGACGCCTTAACCCTCTAGTGCCCAAGCATTGATACCGTGGCTAGAAAATTTTCATATTTTGGAATGTCAAATGATAAAAATCGAAGGAATCTAGTACACTAAACAGGACTCCCACACTTTTCCATCTTTCCTTCTAACTACCACTTCCAACATCCACCAAACATGACTCCCACACTTTTCCATCTTTCCTTCTAACTACCACTTCCAACATCCACTAAACAGGAATCCCACACTTTCCATCTTTCCTTCTAACTACCACCACTTCCAACATTCACAAAACAGGACTCCCACACTTTTCCATCTTTCCTTCTATCTACCACTTCCAACATCCAATAAAACCACTAGCAGCCCAACCATCTCACCTGGCCAGCTGTAGACAAATGGAGTAGCAGCCCTGGCGTATCTCGTAGTTGATCTCCGGTGGAAGAGACTCAGGCTGCAGGACGCTGACCACCAGGGAGAGGCCGCCGTTGAGCAGGAACTCGGTGCAGAAACTCTGAGCTGCTGCCCGCAGCGAGGGCTCCTCTGATGTAGGCATCAGTTTGCTGCTCAGTACCTGAGACACATGACAGAAAGTTGATATATTTCTTGTTTGTTTGTTTGTTTGAGTAAAGAGAAGGAAATTGACATAATACCAGTCATAAACTGCTTGGGAAAGAAAACTTGTTAAAGTGAAGAGTAGCACACCGACACCACAACTGTTTTACACTGCTTGGGAAAAAGAACAAAATTTGGGTAAAGAGAAGCACATCCATTTGAGAGCATCCGGGCAGAAGGTTCAGACTGCTGATGTCTGCTCTAGACCAGGCATTTGAAGAAAAAAAGTGCTTGGGTAAAAACTAAGACAGACAGACAGAAACAAAAAGGGGAAAGAAAACAAATACAACCTACCAATAATAATAATAGATAGCATTTGTATAGCGCATATCCCCGCTCAGCAGCAGGCTCTATGCGCTTTACACTATATTATTATTACCCCAGTAGACCATAAAACACTCCGAAACATTCTCAGCTTCCCGGGAAGCATACACTGCAAGCAGCCGATTAAGCGCTCAAACACTAACAAACTGACAAGATCTTTTGCTGTCTATAGCCGGGTACCCATTCCCACCTGAGTGAAGCAAGACAGACAGATCGAAACAAAACAGGGAAAGAAAAGAAGTAGAACCAACCAGTGGCACCCTCCAATCACTCACCCACTTCAATAGAAACAGATTAAAAACAATAATAAACAAGAAAATAATAGAAGCAGCACTCCACATCTGAGTAGCCAAGAACCACTTATGAAATAGAAGAGGGGCATGAATGATGAAGTATGTACCAGTACTAAATGCACTATTCACCCCCCCACCTTTATAAAGAAAGTAAAATCAGAGGTGCTAAACAGCACCAAAGCATTGTTGACCCCTGCCTCTATGAATAAATTAATTATAAAGCAGTCAAAGCTGCTCTTATGGCAACCTGTCCGAGTCAATCCCCAGTACAAATGACAACTTCCCATTTCTCCTCTTGCATTTTATCAAATAATGACACTGAGCAAGACGTCCACCTGTCTGAGACAACCACTTTTTTCCTCGACAATGGGTGGCCGTCCAGGACAAATTCATTCGATGGTAAAGCGTGCGTAAGCAGGCAACGTACCTCCAGATTATACAGCACTCGGAACGCACTCATGTCCGGCTGGCTGCTGTCAAACAGGTATTTCATGGCCTCCTTGGGCGACAGTCGCGGGTTGGACAAAGAGCTGGGCACCACTTTACGTGGACTCGACTTGGCACCGGACAACTCCTCCGACGATGAGGTCGAAGACGTCTCCGACTTCATGGACTGGGAAGAACACAAAGATACAAATGACACACAGAGCCGACAAAATTCACATGCAAATGATGCATCGTCTTACTTTTTTGTTCCTGTTTTTCTTTTCCCTTGTAGTTTTTTTTATTTCTACTTTTTTCAGCACTGTCTTTTTTTTTTTTTTTTGCCACCGTCTTTCTCCTTATTACTAGTGGAACAGTTTCATTGCCTGTCTTACACTCCCATTAAAACAATTTAGATAAATCATTTAAGAGGTGGGCAGCTTCACTTCCGCTTGCCAGGGCCTATAGAGGACTAAGAAGGATACCGTATCCCAGCAGAAAGGCAGATACAACCTATTAAATATACTCCTCCAAGCAGAAATCAAATTTGCGTCTTTTTCATGCAGCAGCATTACACCACACACATCACCAAAATGTTCATTACTTCTTCATAAAAATTGTTAGATTAACAAAGACTAACAAATACAGGCAGAAGAAATATTTTCAACGTCCAACTGTATAACAAAAATATTCTGAATCTGAAAACACTGAAAATATCAACTGGTTAGTGTAAGACTCCACTCTACCCCATGTCAAAAGTGACATATGACACAGTCTAACACTGAGAAGTCCATGTACTATAAAAAGTAAGTCTTTGAACAGTCCACACAGTAAGAGCAACATTTTCTCCAGAATTTATTAGGACAACAGCAGCGCTGAAAAGAAGAACACACATAAACAGCAGACCATTTGAAAGAAGCCAGCAACCACCAGCACTATACTGATCATCTCATTTACCACGAGTGAGGGAAACTGATGAGAAACAAACATGGGAAGCCATGGCAGAAATGTAAACTGAATGGGAACAACGGGCAGCACACTATTATCCAATTACTAAACCTTCAACATTACCAGGTTGCAGATATTATGTGGTCTAAAAAAGTAAATCTGAGCACACATACCCTAAGGCCAATTCTTCGTTAAAATTGTTGTAGTGTATTCTACTTGTGAACAGTCCAAGAACACCAACAACATTAATAAATGAAACAACTTCTCGGGTTGTGTTCCAGAGTTTAATATAAGACTTAAACTTTACATGACTGTGGCTTGTGCTGCCGTAGGCTAGACATCTTTGTTGTTTATCTTGTCTGTGTGTGTGTGAGTGTGTTACTCTTTTCTTGCTCTCAACGATACCGATATACTTACCATTACAGTACTCGTTATGTAATACCAAAGATAGTACAAGACAAGATGGGCCACTTCTCTCTTTGAGCCAATTAAAAAAGTGTCCTCAAAATTTGGTGGCGCCCTCTTCACAAAAGCGCACTCTTTGCGAACAGAGTTACCCTACTTGAGTTTTTAAAAATCAAAGTGAAACTAGCAAGTTTTGGGATAAATTTCGGAAGAACGCTTTTTAAAAATGGTTACGCTGACAAAAAAACTCTTCCGGAGGAAAAGGAGATGGTTTTCTTCGTTTAATTTGACTTTAGAATGAAGGGCGAGAGGTCATTAAAATTTTTAAAAACTAAAACTCCGCACTGAACGTACCCGAACTGCTGATGAACAGCAGTTGATCTGCGCACGCAAGGAAGTGCTATTCCTATTCTTCTTCTGGAAAAACGAAAGAGAGCTTCAAAACAGACTGCAGCGCCATCTGAAGCAAAGAGCATACTTCCTGCGGACACTTTTTAGGCTGAGTGGCCCATCTTGTCTTGTACTATCTTTGGTAATACTGAGAGTGGGTACTTCTAATGTCACATCCTGATTACTTTACAACAATTGTTGAACAGAGTAAACCTCAACACACTTACTTGTGGCCAGTTACACAATACAATTATTACAATTATCTTTTACTTTTTCAACTTTTCTCCACCGCTTATACCCTTTTGGGTGTCGCGGGAACAAAGAGACGTCTCTCTGTTGCCAGCTGGAGAGCTTGGGTCAGGGGGATGCCATGGGTGGTTAAAACAATTGTCCAACAAAGTAAATACGAGAGTGACATTGTCTAACAGAGTAAATCTGAGTGCTCTTACCTTAAAATTGTCTAACAGTAACTGTTGACACACATATCTCATGGTCAATTATAAGTTCAAAAAGATAAACGAAAAAAGACCCTGATCATACATAGCTTATGGCCAATTATAAGTTCAAAAAGTGCAACGAAAAAAGACCCTGATCATACATACCTTATGGCCAATCAAATCTAGCGAATCTGACACGGCTGGGTCGGTGGGGATGAGCATGAGAAGTTTCTGCACTCTCTTGGTGATCCTGTGGCGAGTAAACAGGTCACTGACATCAGAACAGAATCGTATTGTGCTCAAATAAACCACACCTCTCCACAAACATATCTCAGTGGGAGTTGCTTAGAAGTGTATATGTGAGGCAGCGTGGTGGAATCAGGCTCTCGTCAATTTTTGGGCATATTGAGTTATTGGTATTATCTTAAAGCTTGTTCATTTGTCTCACTTTCAATGAAAAAATTACCCATCCATCTTCAATAGAAGTGGAGATATTTTGGATTGAAGGAGGTGGGGGTCACCTGATTTAAGAGGTAAAATTAGCGAGAAAACAGCCTCCAAAGCTTGGTAAATCCCAAGCTGGAGAGTCCATGGAAACTGTAAATTTATATTTTTGTGCCTTTAATCAACGTTTTCGGTGAAATCCTGAAAGGAATCTGTTTGAAAAAGGAAATAAATGGTGTTGAGCCAAAAAACAAAAATTTGATAAAAATTGCAAAGCAGGCAGAAAACTGCTGTTTTCTTCGATTTCATTATTTTGACGAGAGCCTGATTCCTCCACGCTGACTCACATATGTGTAGTTGAATGAGAAGACCCATAACTACAATTAGACTTCATATTCCACCTAACAAACAGTTTTTCCTCGATTTTCAAAACGTTCTGTTTTACATTTCATTAATTAAAGTGCTTTTATCAGAGATGCCAACTGACTATTAAATAGAATCCTAAAATTTTCAAAACCCATCCCGTGGAAATGCATGTGGATACTCAAAATTTACTAACCATATCGTCAAATACATCCGGTATCAATAAGTCAGGCAAAATGCGGATAATTTCAGAAATCTGGATTTCAGAATTTATCCAGAAAGAGGGCACCTGCATCAAAAAGGTTGTTTCGGTACATAAACAAGACTTCTCATATTTCTTTTATATCACTTAAATCTGTCCGACGCATCTTTCAAAAGGATTCTCTCACCGCACTACACATAGTAACCCTTCTGGTGAAATAAGCACAATGGGGACAAAGAAAGCTTCAAATCTCTAATGACAAAATGCACAGCAAATCAAATCAGAGTCCATAAACGGTACCTAGCCACCAGCAAAAGAGAACAGTAAGCGAAACAAAGTTGACTAAATCCATCAACGCAACCTGACACACATCTCTTCAAAACTACACCGATAGAATGAACACACATCTCTTCAAAACTACACCGATAGAATGAACACACATCTCTTCAAAACTACACCGATAGAAAAATGAACACACATCTCTTCAAAACTACACCGATAGAAGAATGAACACACATCTCTTCAAAACTACACCAATAGAAGAATGAACACACATCTCTTCAAAACTACACCGATAGAATGAACACACATCTCTTCAAAACTACACCGATAGAAGAATGAACACACATCTCTTCAAAACTATACCGATAGAAGAATGAACACACATCTCTTCAAAACTACACCGATAGAATGAACACACATCTCTTCAAAACTACACCGATAGAAGAATGAACACACATCTCTTCAAAACTACACCGATAGAAGAATGAACACACTACCTTAAAGAAAAATGCAACACTTAAACAAAACCACTGTACTCAAATATTTTCTCAGAAATACCACCCATAATGAGACAAAAGTTCTATAAACAGTTATCAGAAAGTGAACGACTTATTTACAACATTCGCACTGAAATATAAGTCAACTGCTGTAGGAAACTTGCAACAAATTAAATATTTTCCCATCATTGGCTATTGAGCTGAGCAAACTCAGGTTTTACACCAAGGCAGCACAAGAATCTCTACACTTCATCAGTTAACCCTTCCAGCCCCAGCCATTTATGTGCACTCCCTAACCCCAGTCCCAGCCAATACAGTAGTATTTCAGAAAAAGAGGCATTATTTCTAAAAAAGTGATGTAGTATCTTTGTAATGTAGCTTTGATAATAACATATACCAATTTTTAAAGATAAATGAACAAATAATAAGAAAATTAAAAGTTTAATCAAGTTTGCTAATTTCGAAAAATGCGCGAATTCGGTACCCCACCGAAACTGAGAATATACGCTCTTGGGACGGAGGGAGGTACAAGCGCTGCTGAAAATATACGCGCTTGGGGCTGGAAGGGTTAAGACCAAACTAAACAAAAGCATTGACTGACAGGCTCAAGCTTGAATAATATTCTACTTAAGGCATCTGGGGAAAAAAAGCATGTGACAAAGCTTCTGAGGCATAATTTTTACACCATTAGGAGACTAACAACTACTAACTAATACAATAGCTTATTACTAGACAGATATTAATACAAGTGGTCCCTGATAAACACAGATCTTCCATTGAAGATTCATGAAACAGTCCTTAATTTCTTTCCCAAAAATGATAAACACAGATTGAGAGCAGTTTCACAACTGACCATATTTTGACTTCCAATAAAACAATTTTGGTATAATCAATTAGCCAACCTGGCATTGTATTAGACATCTACAACTGGTTGTACTACTCGAATAATCCTGGCTTGCGGTTGGCCTGCTGAACACAATGATGGCTGCACGTTTAAATCTGTTCCTTTGTACAGACCGTTCTTTGTAACTTATTGTAAGTGGCTTAAGTTACCCTGAGTGGCCTAAGTAGCCCCGGCTGACGGTAGGTAAAACACCACAACAATTACAGCTACTAACAAGCTGAAGTTCACACACAGTTGATTCTCCCCCACTTACTTGGGTTCATCCAGCTCTGTCAACTGATACAGTTTGTCAAAGACTTCACCACCCTTTGCCATGACCACTCCAGGCAGCATCTTTTCCTGAAACACATAAAGCAGACACAAGTGTTCCAATTCCTACTATACTTTACTTTACTTTACTTTACTTTTCCGATCCAGCGGCCATTTGGGTTCTAGCCCTTCGGTCTGTCGATACGGCAAAGAATTGACAGGTTGTTCTTACAATACAGAACATACAAAGTGCTGTAAAAAAAAGTCTAAATTCTGTCTTTATGACACATATACAACACACACAGATAAGTCAATACTACCACTATTATATTTCCCTGGCACTGTCATAAAATGTAACTCACCCCCACAAAAATAGGAACTGCAAAATAGTTCAGTAATGTCCAAGGCCAATACCAAATTTTTTTTAAAGACTGAAATTTAACATTAGGCAAACTTCACAGCTTCATTCTCAGCAACCAAAGCTCCACATTAACAATTAGTACATTCTTAACCAATTTTTTTCAAGCACAGATTTAAATAACTTTCTGCAATTTACGTGAAAATCTTTAGTTGAGCATTGTTTTTCAACACTTGGTCATGGACAGTACTCAAAATAGTTTACTTCTTAGGCCGCTGCAGTGTCTGTATGCTCATTATGAAATGAGTCTAAAGCTTGATGAAATTCAAAGGCAAAAAAAAATCCCCCAAAAAGAATGACAAAAACTGGCAAGAGCTCTTGTCAAGCTTCTCCACACTCACCTGTTCAATGTCGTAGTTTTGCTTGCTTGTATTACTCGATGCCTGGAGAATGAGAGACAAAACATCAATAAATCTACAGGAAAAACCATGTTTGTTGAAATGAAAAAGATCACCAATAAAGACTTCCAGAAAAGGAATGAGGAAGAGAAAAAAAACCCGGCACACACAATGAAACTAGCACAAGCTGCCAGAACCAAGTTAGGACCAACCATAGCCATTTACCAACCATAGCCATTCACCAACCATAGCCATTTACCAACCATAGCCATTCACCAACCACAGCCATTCACCAACCATCGAAGGAAGTGAAAAACAAAGACTGCCTCAATACAAACAAAATATAAAGTCAGATATCACTCCACAGCTCTTGAGCGAATCTGAACTATTTAAGCAAATGTGACGAGTCCCAACGGTTTGGTCCACTAGGCAAAGATTTCATAATTTTGAGTTTTTGGTTCAGACGAAAAGAGGACATAATTCCCCTTTATTTATATGACACCAATATCAAATGAATACGATAACATTTAACGAAATGACGCAAAATTCAATTTTAGAATGCTTCACTGCTGTCCGAGGCAAAACACTGAGATATTCGCAATCAACGATTTGACAAATAACTCCATCACAGAACAAAGACATTCTCCAAAATAGCTTTAAAAACACATTAAACAGCAAATTTTAAAGATTTTTAATTGATTTTCCAACAAAATAGTCATTCAAAAGTCTTATATAGCTACAAAAAATTTTTAGCTTGTTTCTATTTTTCGACCTAACAAGTGTTTTTGGCTATTTCTGCTGTTCAGCTCGAAGTACCTAGTAGACCGAACCGTCGGGACGCATCACACATAGATGAAGCAACTACTAAATATCCACAGACAATATTACTGACACTATAGAGGAAGAACCGGGGGGGGGGGGGGGGCCAAACAATGTTGCTTTGTGAGACAAAGATCAGTAATTGGCAGACCATAGGACCATAGGCCGTGACAATTCACTACCTCAGAATTACAAAGTTGTACCTGACAATGCTGGCCGTTATGAATTACTCACACCATGAGATAGAAAACAAAATGTTCTATCTGGTCTATCAAAACCATAAGATTATACCGAGGAGTCGTTATCAAGATATTCAAAGAATCGCAGCTGAAAAAGCTTGGCATGATGTGAAACTCTAAAATCTTTGATGTCAAATTTCTCAAAAATCTTTGATGTCAAATTTCTCAAAAATCTTTGATGTCAAATTACTAAAAAATCTTTGATGTCAAATTACTCCAAAATCTTTGATGTCAAATTACTCAAAAATCCTTGATGTCAGATTTCTCAAAAATAGACACTGAGCAGATAAAATGTTGTAATTCTGTGGTAGCGAATCGCTGTCTCATCAGAACCATCACAATCAGTAACGCTACGATCAAAGAGCAGGTAAGACGGATGATCATCATCATCCGGTGCGTTGCCGACTGGCGTGGGCAATCATGGACCTCCACTTCACTCTGTCTTTCGATGCAGCAATGGTGTCTGTTGTTCTTGCTGCTCCCAGCAATGGTGTCTGTTGTTCTTGCTGCTCCCAGCAATGGTGTCTGTTGTTCTTGCTGCTCCCAGCCATGTTGTCATCTTGTCCAGTATCTTTTCCCTCTGTCTGCCTCTGCCTCTCTTTCCATCAAACTTTCCTGTTGTTACAATATTCTCTAATGCTTCTTTCCGCATTGTGTGTCCGAAGAAATTTGCCTGTCGTTTTCTTATATTCGTGATAGCTGTTTTCTATAATCTGCTTCAACCAAGACTTCTTCATTTGTTTTTCTAGCTGTTCATGGGATACGTAGCATGCGTCTTATGAACCACAACTCTGTCGCTACAATTGATGGATGCTGCCTGTTACTTATTGTAAAGTACTCTGCCAAAAAAATGACCAGTACTAACAAAGCAGAACTGCATGATAGGTCAAATTGAAGGGGGGGGGGGGGAACACATTGATATCCACATTTCAGCTAAACCTTATAAAACTAAATAAGCCAGATAAACAATCAAATTAATAATCAGATATAAAAGTAGTTCCACTGTCCAATATAATTCATTAATCCCCCTCACAAAGAACAATACAACAAAAGAAACTTACCCCTTTCTCAGAATCCTGAGCACCACGTGTCCAGAAGATAAAAAGGAATAGAGACAGAAAAAACCATTTTTCAGTATGATGCACAGAACTCCAGATTCGTTAAGAAAAATAAACACACAAAAAAAGCTGTTAGTGTATTCATGTCCTGAATTCGTGCTTCTGTCACTAAACCCGCTCTTTCTTATTTATGACCACAAAACGTTTATCAAATTCCTGCTTAACAACACACCTATCACCAATGTGGATGTGAATAACTCCCCTCAATGAAAAGTTAGTGCTTCTGCTACTTCAGCTGATGTATTGCCTTATCGGGGGGCGCACCCCAAAAGTCCCGATTCGGCTCAAAACAAAGGATTTAAAGTTGTAGGCATTTTTAGCTTTCTTCAACCTCTCTTACAACTATTTCATCGCATAAGAACCCCCTAAAGCCTTATTTCTTCCCATACTGGGCATGTTTGTCATCACCATTTCCTCATAAAGTCAATCTTTTATTTTTCTTTATTGCCTGTTGACACTCAACAAACAACAAGATAGATTTGACACTCAACAAAAAACAAGACACATTTGACACGCAACAAAGAACAAGACACATTTGACACGCAACAAAGAACAAGACAGACCTCCTTGCTGAACACTCCAACAGAAGCCATGGAAGACGTGCTGCCCGACCGGCCGGAGTTGGAGGAGCCAGGAGCACCTTGAGATTCGCCTTGTTCCGACTGGTTGCCTGACTCAGACTGTCGAAGGGAAAATGTTTGTACATTCCTACTCGCAGTTTAACCCTATCCGTACGCCCTGGGGTTATTTCGTACCCCAGGGGTTGTATTCTTCACATTTTAGAATACTTCTAGTACGAAGATATCTTTGAAACGTTCAGTATTTCTCAAAAAATCATTTTGACAGACTGCTTTGCAAAGCACTCGGATTAAAGAGTAAATTTCCTCTTTGAAAGTGGTGGCACAGAGTTCCCCACGTCATATGGAAACGATAGTAAAACATGACGTACGGACAGGGCTAAGGTCATCAGCTGACAAAAAGAAACTTCTTTTACCATCTATTCAATGAAACTTAAAACAATGGGAGAAAGGGCATTTGAATATCAAGGCCCCAAGATCAGGAATGCTTCGATTCATTCAAATGTCAGCTGAAGTCATTTCTGTTTTTAAATTAATAAGATGAATATTTGGAGTGATTTTCTTTTGGTCAGAACACAACGTTTTATGTTACTGTTGTACATTGTTCACTGTATTGTAAAGCACTCAGTACCTGTGTACTTTAGTCCGGGTTGAGCGCAATATAAATGCCATTTATCATTGCTATTATTGTTATTATTATTATTATTATTATTATTATTACATGGTCACATGTCAGTTCAGCTCAAACTGCACAAGGGAAGAAGTTTGTACAAGGTCAAAGGTTACATGTCTATTCAAATAAAACTGCACACTGGAAGATGTTTGTACGAGATCAAAGGCCATATGTCTGTTCAGTTTAGACTGCACAAGGGAAGATGTTTGTACCGAGTCAAAGGTCATGTGTTGACAAGACTCAGACTGCCAGAGGGAAGACATATGAATGGGACAGCAATCCTCATAATCACTGTATCCTAAATTTTCTTTCCCATTTCTGGGTCACCAGTTCCGGTTCAACCAGTGCTTTATCTATTCCTGTTAAACCAATCTGTCATCAATTTCAAACCCCTTTAGTTGATCGTTTTTAAGCACAAGGGGGCTATCTCGAAAAATGCTGTTTTGAGAAAATCAAAGGTAAAGTTCTTGGATCCTTATTCAGTCTCTTTAAAAGGCAAGGAGTTTTTTTGTATAACCAAACAAATATACACACCAATGAAACCAAACTTCTCCTATAGGTAGGGCAATGCCCACTGTTGGTGTAGGTCAAGATTTCTGGAAACCCCCAAAATCTGGGTTAGCCCCCTTGTCCTTAAAAGTGACCATTAGTTTAGTTTAGTGAGAGTTTTACGGTGCTCACAACAGCATAAAAATCCCTTTAAACAAACTTTTTATCCACAAACAGCTTTAACTGTTCAACAGACATAATTTCGCGATCAGATCCCTTCCCACGGGTTCTATTCTTAATCCAAAGCTAAAATAACGATCTGTTGACCATCTCTGCAAAACAAATCGCTACCTCAGGATTACAAAGTTCTATCTGCTCAGTACCTAGAATTGAGAAATTTGACGTCAGAGATTCTGAGCTTCACTTCGTCAAGCTTTTTTAAATGAAATTCTTTGAAGGGATATCATATCTTGATAACGACTCAGAACAATCATACGATTTTGATAGACTCGGTAGAAGATTTGGTTTCTGACCTCATGACCTTAGTAACTCAAATCAGCCAAAACTGTCAGATAGAACTTTAGTAGTAGTAGTACAGGGTTTTACGGCGCTCGCAACTGCGTAAGGTCATATGAGCGCGCGAAACACCAGTTGGTCTTGTTCACAACAGTTGGCTGTACGGCTGGCTCGGGTCAGTAGTTAAAAGATAGAACTTTGTAATTCTGAGGCAGCACATGGACTACTACCTCTCTCCCGAGCAAACCCGTCCCCGAGCCCTGAGCGGCCGACGTAGACCCCGACTTGGAGGCGGAGGAGGCGCCCAGGTGGACCTGCAGGACGCTTGCCTCGCTGAAGTCCAGCTGACTCAACAGGAGCTGGTCCTTGGTCATTGACAACTGATGGAGGGAAAGAAAAAGAGTCGAGTTACAAGACAATTCTGAATTACTCAAATTAAGGTTTTTTTTAAATGTTACATTTTGAATCATTCAAATTAAGGTTTTAAAAGGTTACAGTCCTTCTAAATATCATTATTGACTACTCCAGAAGATTTCAAAGAAATCTGACAAACTGCTGAGATTATGAACATTTGTTTCAGAAGAAACTTTTTTTCCACAGCCAAATCCATAGTCAAACATACCAGTTTCTCATTGGTGTGCATCTGAACATGGTCTGAAGGTTGGTTGAAGTGGTTGAGAATCTTTCTCCTCACAGAGCCCAATGTCTCATTGCTGTGACACTGAAAGAGCATTAAAAAGTACATCATTCAGAAAGGTGGGACTTGTCCTCTCAATGATTTATACTTATCTCCCTATATACAATTAAACGAAAAACATATCAAACTTACAAATAGAAGAGCGACTCCTGGCATTCAACATCAAGTTACATGTATTATGCAGTAACATCTCCAACAGTATTTACCAACATCAGATCTCTATAGATTTATACAGCATCAATCTCTCTGTCAATACGATCTATTTCCTAGTTTTTAACAATGTGGCACTGCTGGCCTATGACCAGACTATCTTAAACTACCTCTTACGGACAACCCCTTGATGACAGAAAAATAGGAGAATCTCTTATCTCTTAAACCCTGTCAAACAATTTTTGTAAAATAAATTTTAAAAGCGTCACCTAGATTCTGCTAGAGTAAGACTGTGAAATAAAGACCCTTGCAATGAAAACAATGACCCAGCCAACTCTTGAAGCGGCCTCAATGTAGTGTGTGTTTAAAGTAACTTACACATAGAAGTATAACCAATGTAGTGTGTGTTTAAAGTAACTTACACATAGAAGTATAACCAATGTAGTGTGTGTTTAAAGTAACTTACACGAGAAGTATAACCAATGTAGAGTGTGTTTAAGGGGAGACGTACACTCCCGGAAAAATTTTCAAAACGAATGGCTTTTATTTCATTTCATCTAATTGTGCAAGAAGTTCATAGGTAAATAGGATGTACTAGGGGTGAATTTGTTGAATCTTTCTAAAAAATGGGTCTCTGTGGCGGCCATCTTGGATTTTCAAACCAGTTTCTTAGTGCAGAAGAATTTCATAGTAAATATTGAATTATCAGCCTGAAATTTGGCACACAAGTACAAACCTATATGAACTGGGGATCCATGAAAGGATTTTGACCTATCTTTAAAACTAAAAAAGTGAGCCCAAAGTCATTGGTCCCCTAGAGTCAGTTGACGAAATTTCAGGGTACAAATTACAAAAAAATTGAATATTTCCTTAAGTTACCAATATTTCCCAATTCCCTTTCATAGATCCCCAGAATCGATCTTAAAGCACCTGTACACCAAATTTGAAGCTTCTAGCTTCTGTAGTTTTTGAAAACTCCTTGCACCCAGGAGGTCACATTTGTCAAAAAGTAGATTTTGAGAAAAACAGAAAAAAACAGGGATTTTTTAAAAGGATTTTTAGAGCAATTTGCACTTTTCAAACGCCCTTTTAGGTCATTTAGGGTGTTTTTTCAACAGTTTCTTCATTTTGACTCCATAGAACAGATGTCAAAGGATGTTTTTCCGCCAAAAACAAAAGTTGGATAGTTTGAAAAATTGTTTGGATATTGCCTTGGATCGCCGACCCGGGTCTTCCCTTAAAGTAACTTACACGAGAAGTATAACCTTCATTCACATGACTTTGAGGAATGACATTCAATTTTCACTATTATCATTTTTACAAGTTACTCAAAATTTCATTCACTGCAGTGGCATTTCCAGACTTCAAATAAGCACTTGGACCTATCAAAGACAATGACCGATTGTCCAGGGAAAAATGGTCATCTTAAACAGGCAGTCTTTTCTGACAGTGCCATAATAATATAGTTAAAAATGCCAGGGAGAAGTGGGAAGTGGTCATTTGTACAGGTGAATATCTTGAACAGGTGCTCCTTAGAGCAGGTTCCACTGTAGCAGTTAATCAATCACAGAAAATAATTAATGTTGGTGCAGCAAGTCCTCAGTCAGAATTTTCACATCACTTAGTCTATCACATATGATTTGGCCTTAGATTTTTTTTTTCTATTTTTTTTTTTTAGCAAATGTAATCAGTGTCTTTCATTACGTAAAAAAACCAACCCTATGACAAATGTAATTTTTTCCAACGCAGTACTTGTTGGGTCTGCTTTCACAACACATAGATGTCATTGTGACTTTCATCCTCTTTCACACTCTGGTGATGAACCTGCAAGAGCCTATCAAAAATCTTACCTGCAGCATAAACTCCTGTTTGGGGGATTCACATTTGACCAGAATATTCATCTGAAACCCGTGGAAGGAAGCGCCGTGTGGCAAGATGTTGCGAGGCACACAGTGAATTTCCTCTACAGACAAGATGTACGCTTCTGCGATCCACAACAATCGCTCAATGGCCAGGTAATTGATTGATCTGCATCGAACAAGAAAGATAAAAAAAATGTCTCAAGGTTGTCATCATCCTTTCAGTGTCAAATCTGCTCTGTTATCCCACCAAATAGCTCAAGATAGCACCGAGCCTGGCAGGGAAAGGGTTAAAGAATATTGTTAATTAAAAACTTTTGATCCTTGATAGAGAGGCAAAAATACGGCAGTTTACACAAGTTTCTCCCCATAAACAAGAAATCTACTAGGCTGATACATCTTTCATTCATACTCTACCACTCACTTTTTCCTGCTAAATTAAATTAAATTTTACCCAATGTTCAAATAAGCCATTCCAAAGGGAAGATTAATATATAAGCTACACATGCAGAATTCAAGAAACTGAAAAATTCAAAGTGTAAATTCAGATAACATTTGGATCTGAACCAGAAAGCCCTGCAGTTAGACACAAGTGGACAAATGGTACATCCAACACCTACACCATTCTCTTCAAGAGAGTATGATCTTGAACACACACATACAGTCATGACTTTCCAATTGTTACTTTGATCAATTCTTTATAAGGAACATATTATCCTGTTCGTACTTGCAGCATCTTCATGCTTACTTTCTTACCACATATAATTCTTCATCTTCTTACTGAAGTTTTTACACCTGTGTTCTCCAGCTACAGCCAAATGCTCTGAGCCTTTATGAGGTATGAAAGCTACATTTGCTATTTTTTAAATTCTTATTAACCCACTCTGTGTGTGGAGCAGACTTAACAGTCATAAGTGTAAAAATAATATATATAACTTCAGGACTCAGTCAAAGGAGGTTTTTTTAATTGATTTTTCAAACAAAGCAAAGAGGTAATCAAAGGGAAATCAGTGTGTAACAGGACATGAAAGACTCACTTAGATGGCAGAGGCACGTTGGCAACGTCAGGCACAATGGCAGCAGTGACAATCTTGGTGGCATTCGACACAGTCTGTGCCACAAAGTTACCTCCCATGCCTAGCATGGCAGTCTGCAAATAGAGAAAAAGCAGGGGTCGGGTGATGTACAGAAGTCTTTCAATATCGGTGCCTGTCCCAAAAAGTACAGTCAATGTATTCACAAACTATACAAAGATCCCCCCACAGATTAAACCGCAGTTCAAAACTAATTTACCTCTACAGGATTTCACTCATCAGCAGATTGTTTTTCCAATGAAAACAAAATCCATTGTATTTGCAAGGAGTGGTATTGTATATCTCCCTGGACCTTCATTTTCATAATTAAAGACAAAAAAAGCAACAATATTTTAAGATTTTGAGGGCAAGTACCACATGAGCAAGGTGAACCAAACTGACAGCATAAAACCTCTCTCAACAGAAGGGAACAAACAATGATATTCCACCTCTGAAGGCAACACACATCTCTAAACTATCACCTCAAACAGAATCCATGCAGAGAAAACACTGCATTGCTTACTTTGTGACCACATCTATCAAACAGTCCAACATCTGCTCTTCAAATGTCCAAAGCTACAGGATCTCCAACAGCAGCTTCTTCCTCCCATTCCTACCACAGACAATACCTTATACTGCAGCAAAGAACAACTTTAGAAGATCACCTTTTTTAATTTGATATTGGGCCAAGGGGCATACACTTGAAAGCCACCGGATTATTACCGACAGCAACATGGACAGGTACATTCGTAGAACTATATTTTCTCAGCTGTGAACTTGATAATGAGAAGGTTTTGTAAAGTGCATACATTTTTTTGTCCTAAAAAAATAAAGCAGCAAATCTGACAAAGAAATAACTGTGTCATGTCATATCACATTTGCATATCAAAAGTACTCACTTCTAATCGTGTGTAGCATTCATTAATGAACTTCTTGTGCAAGGATACTGGCTCCTGTCAAAATGAAAAAAAGGGAAATGTTTTCAGAAAAAGACATAACTTCTGAACTACACTATTGTCACGAGAGTTCTCACGCAATACAAGGAACATTTTAAAATGCATGAAGTCATAGGTGGTAATTACAATACAAAGTCTTGTGTTTTAACACCAAAAGAAACAACAGAGTACATGTGTAATTATGAGCCACCAGCATCTGTTTGTCCTCATCATCAGTGCCATCAACATAACACGCAGGCTCAACTTATCAATTCTTTTTCCTGTCTAATATCATTTTTCTACTCACAGTGGTCTATGTCCTCTCCAAGCGTGAGTGGAGGTCAGAGAAGCTGAAGATGAGCATCTGTAAGACTGAGAATGTCACACTCTCACGAAGCCTTGTCTCATTTGGTTTCAGTTTTTGATTCATCACAACTCTCTTTCCAATTTTTTTCCCCTCTCGCGTACACTTTTTATTATATCTCACTCCAGCTTTCTACTTTATCTCATTTTAGCTTTCTAATTTATGTCATCTCAGTTTTCTGATTCATTGCATCTAATTTTTCCTGATCTACACAGAGTTCTCCAAACCCTCTTTAAGAGTGAATTGAGCTTAAGGGTGGCATAACTCGGAGCCTACATCTTTACTGCCTGATCAGCGACACCTTCAGCCACACGGAAACCGAACTTGTCGTAATTTTTCTTCTTTTATGTTATCTTATTTTATCCTTTCTTATCCTGATTTCAGCTATCTGATCTCTGTTATGGTCCCCTAACCCTCTTCAAATATTAGTGAACGTCAGTGTAGCTGACAGCAAGTAACATCTCTATGGCCTGATTAGCAATGCCTTCAGGCTTTGTTTTTATCATTTGTTTTGTCTCTCGTTAAATCTTGTCAAATCTAATTTTATTGTCCTTTCAGCTATCTAATCTCTGTAAGGTTGAGCCTACCCTCTTCAAGCGTGAGTTGAGGTTGGTGTAGCTGAGAGCCAGCAGCATCTGTATGGCCTGGTCAGCGATGCCTTCGTCGGGAACGTGCAGGCAGATCTCCCACAGATAGTCCAGCCCCACCAGGTCGGGTTTCTCCACCACCTCAAGAGAAGAAATATTATATTGATCACACATAGGAATGATACATAGGTGAGGCAGCGTGCTGGAATCACACACATGAATAATACATAGGTGAGGCAGCGTGCTGGAATCACACACATGAATGATACAGTTGTGAGGCAGCATGGTGGAATCACACACAGGAGTAATACAGTTTTTTCACAATGTAGGAATGTAGGTGTTTTCAATAATAATAATAATAATTGCATTTATATAGCGCATATCCATGCTCAAGAGCTTGCTCTATGCGCTTTACAACTATTATCACCCCGGGAGACCGTCTGAGAACACTCGGAAGCATTCTCGGCTTCCGCGGAAGCATACATTGCAAGCAGCGGATTTCACGCACTCAAACACTATCAAACTGACAAGATCGTTCACTGTCTATAGCCGGGTACCCATTTCCACCTGGGTGAAGTGAGGAAAATTTGTGCAAAGTGCCTTTCCCAAGGACACAACGTCGGGCCCCTGACGGGATTCGAACCCACGACCTTACGGTTGCAAGTCCGAGAGCCTAACCACTAGGCCACCGACGCCACAATTTTACACCCCCATTGGCACAATTCACATCATTTAGGAGGCCAGCTTTGACCCTGCCTGTCAGAGCCAACCCATGCTGACCGGGAAGATATACTCAAATAAAAGGTCTCTATAATCTTCAACAAATGTCCTCTTATTTCTTTATGCCAAATCTCCAGCTGATCGGGTACAGTGAGTTATTTCGTCGTCCACTTCACTGCTAGGTAACAGTCTTGCATCCACCCTCTTGCTCCAAACTTCCAAAGTTGTGCCCACTTACCATTGAACTGTTGGTGTCTTTGAGTCGGTGCTCATACTGGTTCACCCTCTCAAAGAAACACTTGAAGCACATAAACCCTTTGGGAAAAAAAAAGAGAAAAAAATTACTTGACAATGCTTTTTATTACAAAAATTTATGTTGCTAAAACCCAGTGAATAGAAACAGATAGGTACTTTAGTTTGGACACACCCTTCATCTATTATTTTTTTTAATTTAGTGACTGATGATAGATGCGACATTCAAGTCATATTTATATTTTCCTTTGTAAATTTCAAAACAACCTAAGTCCTCTAAAAGAAACTAGATCTAATAAAAACTCATTCTGAACTTTTTTCAATTTACAATATGAAGAAAATGCTATACAAGAGGCAAATGAAACCTTGAAAAAAAATTTTTTTAATCAGATTGAGGAGTACATCATGTAATCTTTTTTTTTTTACACATGAACAAAAACATCTGTTACCATTCCAAGAAAACTAACAAGTTATCGGAAATTTTTTCAAATAAGTGAAAAATAAAGATGACACTGGGGTAGAGCTATTTAATGTTAGAGAGTCGAAGAATAAATTCCTACCGTTTTCACTCAGTTTGGAAGGATCGATGCGGAGAACCTCCTTCTGGAACATGTGATTCTGAGTCTCGATCTCCAGGTCGGTGATCCCCTTACGGAACCACTCATAGCACGTCTGGAAGATAAATATCGCATTTATGAGAGGTAAAAATCAACCAGCTTAGAACTTAAAACTGAAGAAGTTGGATCATGATGTTAAATTCATAAGTGCTCAAATTCTGAATATCGAAAACATAAGTTATGGACCTGGTTAACTAAAGAGCATTTACATGTTCAAAATTGTCCAGTGCTACTACTGTAACTACAGCAGTAGAATTTGAGTTGAGTTGTGGTATATAGAAAGTCAGGACAATAATGGCCACATGTTTCAAGGAATCAATCAGGATGAAAGTAACATATGAGCAAACTGCATACAGCATCTCATCTGTGATAGATAGTTCCTGTTTCAGAACAAGGAAGACTTCTTTAAGTGGATCAAGGCATCATTTTCTGAATGTTATTTATACTTCTGGAGCCTTTAAACACTAACCTAGATACAGTCAGTGCCGACTATAAGCCCGCCGGCCTTAAGCACATTTCGGACTCAAGCACGCTAAACGGCTCTTACCGAATTTTTGCTATATAAATTACACGCCTATAAGCACGGTAACTTCGGCTTCAAGCACGCTTCATTTACAAGGCAGTCAATATTTTCATGATGACCCATCGAAGTTCGAACACAGTCTACACCGCAACAGTGGAGTGTGTCAAGAGAAACACAAAGAACGCAAGTGATGGACACACACCCTCGCACAGGCGGAGAGGAAGGCAGAGAGATGCACAGAGCCGTTCGCGCGGACATAGGATCTAGCCCAGGCCTAGGGCAAAGCAACACACAATCAACAAAAAAAAAGAGAGTCGGGGAGATGAGAAAGGGAGGCTGGCTGCGATTTCACCTTTGACCCTCGCTACCCATTAATCCTGATTTTGTATCACGCGCGAGGTGGGATGAAGGCGGTGGTATGAGTGGCACAGCGGGCAGTGGTACGCACAGGCAGTGTGTTACAGTAGGCCTAGTGTGCTGTATCGTGACTGGCCGTCTAAATTAAGTTTTCATTTCCCATTCAACCACAAAACAAAATCAAACAAGCGAACAAAAACTACCATGGCGGGTAAAAATAACAGTACACTTTTGTGGGACCGCTATAGGCCTACTTACAAACTAAGGGAAATAGCACGGGAAATTTTCTACATGTAAATCTCTGAATTATGTCTACTTCGCACTTAAGCACGCTTCAGCTTTAAGCACGCTTAAGCTTTTTCCCGATGACCGTGCTTATAGCCGGCATGGACTGTATTGTATTGATGCTTTACGCACAACACAGCCAGCTCCGAAAACTCATAGAGCATCAGTGACAACAAATGTACAGGAGGAAAAGGGTACAAGCATTTTCAGGGTACCTTTCCAAAAACATCAAGTTTCACGTTTCCCGACTTGAAATTTCGAGCAGGCACAAAACCTTGATAAACAAATCATAGAAAAAACTAAACTAAACAACTGCATACCTCTATGTCCCACTCACAAGCCTTTGGGTTGGCCACCAGAGTTGTCCAGATGTCCCGGGCTCGATTCCAGGCCAAGTACAAGACACCCTCTTGCAGCACGTATTGCAGAAAGTTGAGATGAGTGCTCATATACTGAAATATTCACATGGATGAAAAGTTTAACAAAACAAAGACGTGTACTATCTATCTTCAATTACTACTGAGGAATGAACAGCTACTCCTAAAACAAAAAATACTCATGCCCTAAATGGCAGCCACAGAGGAAAGGAGAAAAATCAAACCTAAAAAACACAGTTCAAACATTAGTTTCATTGTTTTTGTTTTAGTAGAGGTTTTAAGGCGCTCGAAACTACAAAAGGTCAAATGAGCGCCAAAAGATTAGAGGCGTAACAAGAGAGTAACAAACATAAAAAAGAAGGAGGGGAGATAAGGACGATAGATGTTTGAAAGGAAAGAAGAAGCAAACCACACCAGACCACCCACCAACCACCCACAGTTTCATTGTTCAAAAAATTAGAAAAAAAACAAAACCAAAAAAACTCATAAACAGTAGAACTCACGTCTGAGTGTGGGTAGCGACCATCCACCATAGTGGCCGGAGTGAGTTGACCATCGCCCACCACAGCAACAGCCTGTTTGTGACACTTGACCAGGCTGTTGGTGACCAGCTTGATCACATCACTGCTCTTGTTCAGCTCATTGATGACACACTGGAAAAGTTGAGAGGGGATTTATAGGAGTAAAGAAAAGCTCATCACCACGAAAATGGTCATTTTTTGACGTAAGTCAAAAGTGAGACAGAGAGAAGAAAAAAACAGAGGGAGAAAAAAGAAGTAGACGTACTCTTGGAACCCTCCAACTGCTCTCTCGTCAAAGGGAGAAGAAGAAAGAGTCAGAGACACAGTTACCAACAAGAGATGTCTAGTTTTGTTTTTCGTAAGAGTTTTACGGCACTTGCAACACAATAAGGTCATATAAGTGCCAAAGATTAGAGGTGTTACAGGAGAGAGTAACAAACGCAAAAAAGAAGGAGGGGAGATAAAGACGATAGATATTTGATAGGAGAGAAGGAGCAAACCACACCAGAGCACCCGCCAACCACCCACGGACAAGATGTCTATCAAACAAACAAAAAAAGTATAGTGAAACTCTGCACTGAAATCAAACGACATTCTTTCAACATTAATTTTCAAAGCAAACAGCAATACAAACAGAAACTTTATAATGAGATATGCGTTGACATCCACTTATTCAGTGCTATAAAAAAATATATGTTTTAAAACACTTGAAAGTACCAACATTTGCAAAATTACAGATTTAGTTAACAATTTCCAAAAACTTGGCGTTTGAGGCTTACAATTTCCATCTGAACAAACACATTTCTATAGCTCGCTTTATATCAAGTTCAAGAAAAATATCCAAGATTTTTTCCATTAATTTCAGTCAATTAAACAGTCAGCACACCTTTGACCTGATTACACCTATTTGGTGTGCGTACTTTAAATTTTACTTTTTAAAATGTCATGTGTTTAGTTCAAATTTCCCCAACCTTTCCGCTGATGTATTTTAATTTCAGACAATCTAAAAAAATATAAATTAAATATTTAATTGCAACTTACCTTATCCGTTTTCTGCTTGAAATGCTTGACCATGTTCTTGCTTATGGACATCAGCTGTCTAATCGCTGGCAGCACACAGGCTCCCTTGTAGAAGAAGAGAGATCAAAAGTGACAGTCAGCCAACAGTAGTGGAAAACAACTGTACTCACGAAGCACAAAAGGATTAATGAAAAAGAAAAAAAGAAAAACTTCTCAATTCATTCTATCAGATAGAAAGTGAAGACCATGGTGAAAACTCTGTTTAAGATCCTGGTGCTCAGGAAAAAGTAGGATGTTGGTGAACAGGATCTCAGTCATATAAGAAGGAACTACCCATCATTAGATTTCCATTACCTCTGAAACCACCAGGAGTTACCCTAGTAACACTTGCGCTGAGTGTGGAAAAACTCCACCATACAGAATAAAGAGTAATTATCAGACTTATAAATCAAAATTGTCAGAACCTGCTGTAATTGTCCTATCTTGAATCTTTGAAATTTGAAATCTATACCTTTTATTTCATCAGTCTTGTCTATCGCCCATCCCCATCATGTAAAAATAATGAAAAATAATTACAGTATTTTTACTTATCTCTCTTAGAAAGAGGCATACTGTTAGCTCAATCGGCATCAATTTGGACTCTGCTATTCATGATCAGTTCGAATCCCCAAACGGCTACCCCTGAACATGGATTGTTCAGAAAGTTTAGAAGGCTGTCCACCAATCAGTCTCAGGTCTTATCTAAGAAGTATGTTAAATCAGAGGTGAGGTCCCGTCTCTTATATAACTTTACAGTGTTGAAAAGGGTATTATGGTACTGTGTTTTGAGTGAAGAGAGGCACATTGACACATTGACACAATAATGGTAATTTAGTGTTTAGAGAAAAAACAAGGCAAGACAGACACAAAGAAAAGAAGTGAAAAAATACTGGACCTTACAGTCATCCTCCAATCACCCGCCAAAGGGGATTCAAACTATCTATACGAATCATATTGAGACAGACAGAAACAAGAGAATGAAAGTAAAGGCGTAAGGCCCATCAGTGCGCCCATCCATAGAAAATGAGTGAGTTGTGCATGAATGTAACGAGTGCAGTTCAGTGTTCATGCTGAATCTTTGCATGTTGATGTACTGTGCCCAAAATTTCGCGCCCCAATAAATAAAAGTTTACCCCTTAAGGGAAATCAAACCAAGCCCATCCCAGTGCAGACCTTTTTGATGTCGTCGACACACTTGGTGACGTACTGCAGTTTGACCTGCTCCTTGACGCTGTAGGAGTAGGAGAGGATGGCATGGTGCTCCTCCAAGGCCTGCTCCACCAGCAGGGTGCTCAGGGCAGGCAGGTGGGCCAAGTCCCACAACAGCTCCAGCACCTGGGCACACCCCATCACATTGCATTAGTGGAATAATAGGTGAAAGATAAAGAAAAATTTGACAGAACCATTAAGAAAGCCAGCAAGATCTCTGGATATGATTTTATAAGAATGGATGAAATGTATAACACCACACGTATAAAAAGATCAAAAGCATTATAAACGACCCATCACACCCCTTTTCCACACAAATTGTAAGATCACGGAGCGGCAGATATGTACCTCCAAAAACAAAGAAAGAAAGATATAAAAGAAGTTTTTTACCATCTAGCATAAGGCTTTTGTCAGAATGAGCATAGATGTGTGTTGCTCTTAGAATATGTATCTGAATATAACTCCAAAGGTCTAGTATTTGAATTCCTGTATGTGGTTGAATGATGCATTTGATGCAAATGTACATTTTGTCAGCTTTACTTCTCCTTTCATATTGAATTTTAATGAGAGTTATATATATGACTTAAATTTTTTATGTATACCTGCATGTGTTTTTAATGGTCCTGTACAGCCAAGGAAAATTTCCGTCTGGAATAATAAAGTACTATCCTATCCTATCCTATCCTATCTTAATAAAAACGTAAATTCAGGAATATCTAGCTCTCACAGGCAAAATTCAAGGCAAACGAGGCAGGGGTAGTCCAAGAGCAACCTACTTGGAGATCCTAAACAGATGGGTAACTGGAAAAGATCAGGGTCATTTAGCTTTTTAAGAGCATTCGAGCAAAGGAATGAATGTAGCATCACGAGCACACTTGTCTGTCGCAGATATGGCACTTGATGATGATGAAGAATAACGTTAATCGTGATGATGACATTAAAAACAATAATCATGATGATGATGATGGTGACAGTAACATGGTACATGGATAAACATATTATTGTGAAAACTACATACCCCAAAAAATTCCCTTCTTTTGGATATTAGACACAAAGATTTTTTAAGCATTATAAAGATGGGCTTTTTTTCTTGCAGTTTTCCGTACCAGTTTCTCTTCAGACAACAGAGTCACAAAATAGTCTTGCGTTCTTTAAGTGCAGATTCACAAAGCAAAAATCTACAACATTTTGTAGGGATCTCTTTACCCTGGTTGTTGTCTTTGCTAATTTTGCATCTTTCCCAATTTTTCCAATCAAGCTCAGCAACTTTTCCCGAATTCGATCCGAGTCATCCTGCCATTTCTGAGGAGAAAGCATAAAGTTTCATTATTCATTAAATGGGGGGAAAAGTTCAAAATGATGACTTTGATAACAATAAGAAAACAGGCGATGAGTTTCCAACCTCTGACTACAGTAACAGCCAATTCAATCTGCTAATAATAACAATATTAATAGATAGCATTTGTATAGTGCAAAGTCTCGCTCAACAACAAGGTCTATGCACTTTACAATCTACATTTTTACCCCAGCAGACCTGATAAACATTCTGAAACAATCTCAACTTCCTGGGAAGCATACAATGCAAGCTGTATTTTACAGGCCCTAAAACACTAACATACTGACAATATCATTTGCTGCCTTTGATCAGGTACCCATTCCCAACTGGGTGAAGTGAAGAAAATTAGTGTAAAAAAAGCCTCTCTCAAGAACACAACGTCGTGTCTGAGGCTCAAACCCCCAAACCTGCAACCTCACGATAACGAGTCCGGTAGCCTAATCACCAAGTTACCAAGGGTACTCACCTTTTGTATCAGTAAAAATAGATGCTCCAGCTGATTGGGGTCAAACTTGACAGCAGCAGCAGCAATGATGGAGTGGATGTTGTCTATCACATTGTTCGTCTGACCATTCTATGAAAAGAGCAAAACAAAACAAATGCTTGACCTTGAATTTCAGTCTTAGTGACCCACATTTGGTCGCTTTTATGGACAAGCGGGCTAACCCAGATTTTGGGGGTTTCCAGAAATCTGCACCAACACCAAAAGTGGGCATTGCCCTACCTATAGGAGAAGTTTGGTTTCACTGGTGTGAATATTTGTTTGGTTATAGAGAAAACTCTCCTAGTCTTTTAAAGAAACTGAACAAGGGGCAAAAACTTTACCTTTGATTTTCTCAAAACATTTTTTGGGATAGCCCCCTTGTGCTTAAAAGCAACCATTTATAAGAATAGTCCTATTGTGTAACTTCTAACATGAAATAGGCAGGGCAGAAGCTAATGGGTTTAAAAAATTGATAAAACAGACCTAAAATTAGAAGTTGGCAAAAAAAAATGGGAGTCTCCATAATGTCAGAAGATTAAGCTAATGTAAGAAACCAACCATGGAAAACAAACCTGTATTGCGCAAAGCAGGTCACACAAATATTGCAAAGAAACGGAAATATAAATGTATATTTCAAGTTAACGCTAAGTTGCATACAACCTGACGAAAACAGAAATCAAGAAAGAAAAAGGATTTTATGCAAACCCGACTGGGATTCTTCGATGGGTAAAAAAGTCGGAGAGCGCTGATTTTATCAGAGTACTTGGCAGGTGTGCTACAGGGATTCTGTACCTCAACTATCTATGGACGACGGCTAAACATACATCACCACACGCAGAAACATGCAGAAGGGTAAAGAAAGTGTGTATGCTCCTGTCTGTTCAGATATATAGATTAATTCCAAAATATTGACCAAAAGAAATAATAAATTTTTTTTACGGACATTAACAACCTGCGCATTCATATGACCTTATGCAGTTGCGAGCACCATAAAACAGTTACTAAAACAAAAGACATTAACAATTTTCTTGAATAAAGGGGTATCGGAATTTGGCATCAGAGAGTAAAAAATACTTTTCTTGACCATCTTGGAAATATGAGATATAAGACACACAGGTGAGAGAACAGACTTTTCTGCAACTCTACCTGCATCTTCCAGATCATGGCCAACTCATCCACAGAGAGTTTGGCGCCAAGAAAGTCGACAATTCCCTTGATTTTATCACAGTACTGAGCTTGATCAATGTTTCCTGAGGACAAAAGATGTCAGAGTAGAGGTACATATCAATACATGTATTGAGATGAAGTGACTTACACTATAAGCACACCCAGAGGCATATCTTTCGTGACTATAAGGGCATCCTGCCTCTGTTTATGTTAGCAGTAATTGTTTCTTAATTTTCAGTGGCATACAAACTGCAGAGGTCTTGTTAATGAACTGTCCAGTATCTTTTTAAGCTTTCTGTACAAATTCTTTTGCCATTTTCAAAGGCATCTTTTGGTGTGTATTCCTATCAGTCCTCATAGCTCTATGTTCAAGGATATCTCGCATGCTATTGTCTCAATCAAGATCATTCTTCCATCACTGAAATGCAATACATTGTCTCTTATTTATTCAAGCATGTCTGATTTGAATGCCTGCAGTTAATAATTATAATCAGTGCTACTCTATAAACTAAGGGAAACAAAAGATGGAGGCTTCAATGCATTATCTGATCAAAGAAAAAAGAATGAAACAAGCATTGAATCAACCAATTAAGTCAACTTTTGACCTTTCTCACCTTCTAAAGCAATGGAGAGAACTCTGTTCTCCACAAGCCAGTCCAGAATTTTCTCCGCTGGTATCACAATGGAAGTCTTTGAGACCCGGGTGCTGTTCAGATCCTCAATCAGTTTTGTAACCTTAAGGACAGATCAGAAAAGGAAAGTTTTATCTAGAAATCTTCCACAAATTCAAACTAAAGGAGGTGACTGACTACAAAAACAAACAAAAAAGCGAAATTACTACATAATATAATAAATAAACAACTTACACAATAATAACATACTGACAGCTTTTATTAATAACAAAATCTGAGACTTTTAACATAATGATTTTAGGCTACTGAAAAATCATAAAACTTAACTCATTGGAGTCGCGCTATACTTTGCCTTGCGCGCTTATGAAATCACATGATTTTGGGGTATGTTCAAATGCACATAGCTCAAAAACCGTACAAGATAAAGCAAATCTGTTTGCAGATTCTGAAAATAGGAGGTTGAAATAATAAAGGCACAAAGAATAGTGAATGAGGAAGAAAAATAAAGTTCTCTCTGAGTGGATTGAAAATCTAGAAAAATTGGGGGCAAAAATTTTTTTGCACACTAAAACATCATCATATATGGTCATATAAATTGACATAAAACATAAATAGAAGGCAAATCAACATATTTATTGTAAAAAAAACAATATTAGATTGAAACATATGACAATTCTGATGAGAATGACATGAAATGATAGGTGGGGGATGATGATGATGACGATGATGATGATGATGAAAAGATGATGGCTGAAAAAGAAAACAATATTCAGGCATAGTGTTCTTTGGTATGAAAGATTTCACAACACGGATGGACACAGAGTGCCTTGTTGCACTTGCAGCATTCATATTGTGTCACTTTCCTCTTGCTTTTCTGGGTTTTGGCCATAGCCTCCCCCTGATTTTTGTCGCTTAGGACCTATAAAATGTAAACAAACTTCATCGCATAAATGTATGCGGTGCGATCTCAACGGTTCTCAAGTCCATCGCATATATGTATGCGATGTGATTCCAATGAGTTAAAGTTCAAATTTTATTTTGTCAAGTATCAAGTCCTACAACTAGAGTGTTCAGGCATGAAATTTACTGGTACTATCTTTTGTACTTATATGACAAATAGAAAGCACAGTCTTGACACACAGGGCAAACCATAATCTTGCCAAGTGAACCTATGGCAAAATACCAGATTTTCTACGACAGGCCTTCTGTCCCAACAACTCAAAAATCACAGAATCTGAAGTTAGAAGGATCAAGGTATAGATCAAAATGTCCAGCTGACTTGATGTGAACAAAAAATAAGTAGAATACAAACCTCTTTCAAGGCATTCATTTTGGCGTTGAAGTGTGGCGACTTAAGCATGCGCAGGGTGATCTCCAAACGCAAGTCGTCCAATTTGTCCACATCCTGGGGCCACATCTTCAGACACAACAGTTTCATGGAGCTCAGCAAGTTCGACACACTGCCAATTTTCTGGAACACAAATACAACAAAAGTAATATAAAATTGTCAGAAAAATTCCAACGCAACATTAACTCAGCAAAAAAAAATTTGCAATCAACAGATAAAGGCATTATATAAAGAGAAGCTGATGTTTAGTTTAGTTTTAGTAGAGGTTTTACGGCGCTTGCAACTGCATAAGGTCATATGAGCGCCAGAAGATTAGAGGTGTTACAAGAGAGTAACAAACATAAAAAAGAAGAAGGGGAGATAAGGACGATAGATGTTTGATAGGAAAGAAGGAGCAAACCACACCAGAGCACCCGCCAACCACCCACAAGAGATGTTGATGAATCAAGAAACCATCAACACAGCACCACACCAGGGGCTCCACAATGAAAGGCCACTGCTCACTGGTTGCCACAAATGTTTTGTGACTAACCATGGAGATGGCCTTATTTAACTTTTCTTTACACAAATCAAGCAAAACCATTTGTGGGTCGTACCCACAACACAGAATATCAAATTTAGCCTGAACTACATGTAAAAGAATTTTTTTTTTTCACAGGACCATAAAAGTTTTTTAAAAAACCAAAAAAAACACAAAACTGTTTTTGTCCAGTGACTTAAAATGAAAACCACAAAGCAAAAAAGTTTTAGGAGTGTCAGCTGCAGACCAACCTTTTCCTTAAAATCTTTCTCTTCCAGGCTTTGGATGTACTTGATGGCTCTCTCCATACCCGGCCGCAGCATACTCTGCATCACATTTTGGTTCAGGTACTCCGCACAGACACCAAACGGCTTCAATAAAAGTGACATGCTCTGGAGAAGAACACATTTTACATTGTTTTCATGTCCATTCTTTTTCCTCTGAGAACGAAAAAAATTTTAGAGCTCCCACTTTTTGTTTTAGTAGAGGTTTTACGGCGCTCACATCTGCATACGGTCATATGAGTGCCAGAAGATTAGAGGTGTTACAAGAGAGTAACAAACATAAAAAAGAAGGAGGGGAGATAAGGACGATAGATGTTTGATAGGAAAGAAGAAGCAAACCACACCAGAGCACCCGCCAACCACCCACAGCTCCCACTCTGTAGTTCTGTCCCTATAACAAAAGCTGCTGTCATTTTCAGTACAATATTCTAAACTCATTTTTTTTTATGCAATAGAGACATAACAATACATTCAGAGCTCAATGAAGTTTTAGAACAAAAAAACTTTCACTTCTTATTCAGAAATCACTTCAACCTCACAGAAAATACTGCCCAATTACAAATTTTTAAATATATTTGTAGACAGTATGAAAGGACCTATAATGAGATTTTAAAAACTTGTACAATTCAATAAATAGAGAAAAGACTGTAAATGATGTCATCATACATTTCTCTGTATTTCTGGGCGCAGTAACACGTAACACTTAACAGTCGTAGAACAAACTTTCTCATCAATCCCAACGCAGACCACCACAAGTAACACAAAACACAAGATATTGAAACAGCACATATGCATTTATGACCATTTCACAATCAGGTTTTCTCTAAAAACAATACAATAAACACAAAATAGACCACAAATTCATACAATCAAAGACAGACATGATGTGATCTCTCCAGAACTACTGCAACAGGCCACAGACTAATCTAAAAGCAAAGTAAATTTGCTTCCATCTACTATCAGTCTCTTAAAGAAATACATGTAATTTATTTCACCAGACTAAATTCATAAACAGGATCACAAAATAATCTTTTTTTTTTTTAATTGAAATTATTTTTAAACTTGCTATGAAGACTAAAACATTTTCTCGTACCCTCCAAAGCAGTGATAACACTGTAAAAAAAAAATAAATGAAAAACCTGTTTTCAACATGCTGAAATGTGACAAAGGTAATACCAACGGGCAGGTAAAAATGTATTCTGTCGCTCACCATGATATCCAAATCCTCCGCCTCAAGATGCTTCCGCACAAGATCAAAGCCTCCCTGATATGCAAACTGCAACAAGAAAAAAGTAATAATCGATGAACTAGTTGTTCCACGTTCCTGAATATAATGGCGAGCCTTACAGTGGGTCTTTTATTTTCTTCACATTTTGTTTACATAAAGCCTGTATACGTCGGTCAAACTACTAAACGTTGGCTCCAAATACAACTTAGGAACTGGCTGCAATAAAGACTGGGAACTTTTGGGAGATAATGTAGAAATTTTCATTCAAGAATATATTGGACTCTTCAGCTCTGTTAGAGTGTGAAGTAGACCTCAAAGATTTGTTGTTTTTTTAGGTCGATTAGGTATGACGTCTTACAAACTTAAATTAAGTACCTCACTGTTATTCTAAGGATGTTCTTTCTGCTTTTACAACTGTAAGGCGATAGCCACCACAAAATCAGTTGATGGGGGGGGGGGGGGGGGGCTTGAATCTGTTCTTTCACCAAGATTTAAAAATTGCTATCAAAATACCAAAAGTACACTTTCAACTGATATTGTAAAAAAAAAAAAGAAAGAAAAATCGTAAATGAAACAATAAACATGCATAGATTAAACATTGCCATCAACATTTTAAGAAAAACTTACAGAATTGATGAGGTTTGTCAACCAACCAAACGGACTCTGATTACTCTGAAACAACAAAAGAGAGAAAAATCACATGAAAATACACATAATATTGAGGCAAAACAAGTCGTAACTTCACAACGCTGACATCACAGAAGTCACATACTATTCAAAATTTCATAATCTATCAGATCAAATGGGCTCTTTTTTTTATGGCTGGGAGGAGGTTGGGGGAAGGGGATAGTTTGATAGAGACACTAGCAGCTAAATCCTGAAGTTCAATAGTCTCATTTTTGCATGACCAGACTATCAGTTGGGCTGACATGAAAGAGAAATACTAAGCAAGAAGAAAAGATGCCAGTCCAAAGCTGCAGATAACAGAAAAGGGCAATCATCCATGAAGAAGGGGAGCTGCATACCCTCTAAGCAAACAACAGACAGAGTATGTAACTCCATCCCACTCGTCGGCGTGGACAAATTTCTAAATATATCAACACATACTTCAGATCCAGCAAAAGGCTTCAGAAGTTAAAACCATAAAGACGCAATGGGTGAGCAAAAAGCCAGTCTCATCTACTAGCAGCTACATGTACTGGAAGTTCATAAACTAGACCTGTGACAGGAGCTGTCTTGTAGGAATCTTTTGCTTCACACTTCATGAATGTTATCCTTCATAAAGTGATATTCAGTCAGAAAAATTCATCCTGCATATCATTTAAGACCAATACAGATAAAGCCTTGTGCAGACTAAGCTATGTCAAGAAAATACAAAAATAAAAACAACAAAATCTCACAGTATTGGTTTTCTGGGAGCTTGGGGGAACAATGGCTGGGGGCTCACTGCCTTCAAACCGTTCTTCCCACGTGATGCGGCTGTCACGCTTGCCGTGATTTTTTATCTGGAACTCTGTCTCAGGGTTGAAAGCCTAGGAAGAAACACATTCAAATATCCAATTTACACACTTCATTCACAGTACATCTTAACACTTTCCACCCATGCAGCGCACGGAGCGTGCAACACTTACCCCCACGGACCACGATACAGATGCGGTACACACTGTATCTTACCGTCGTCGATCAGCATCCCGTGGGGAAAAGGGATGGCTTCTTACCGTCGCCAATCGGCGTCCCGTGGGGGCAAAGTGTTAGAAGAGTACACTTCGTAAGTGTGAGGGAATAAGAAAAAGACGCTCAACATCATAGAGAAGGCGGCACACAACAAACTCATAAAGGAATGCACTAATACTGATCCAGTAGCTGCCAAATTTTTATCAGTTCCTTATAACATTTTTTTAAAGAATCAGTCTCAATATTTTTTTGAAGTATTTTGGACAAACTTATTTTATTTGCTTAGTTGCTACAAGATAGCAGCTGTTAAGTTACTTTTTTTTTAAGAAAGCCAGCTTAGCTTATTTTATCAATGGCAAGAAAAGCAGATATTCAATAAAAAATTGTATTGAACCTAGAAAGCAAGTATACTGGAAACACAGAAAATACTGGCTCAGAAAGCAGAATCCGCACTTTTGTAAGAACACAGCTCACCAGGGTAAGACATTCCATGAGGACTGAGTGCACCGAGGGTTGTTTCAAAGATGCTACAGCCAGCTCCACGAGAAGCCCAAGCATGTTGAAAATTCCCTCTTGAATATCAATGCCCCACTTGTGAACAGCATTGGATGTCAGCAGCTGAAACATGCAAGATCACATAAATTATGCCATACTGTGGGCATCATCAGGTGCATAAATTGACAGTCATGGTTATTTAGGGCTTGGAAAAAGCAGGGCAACATAAAGAAACAGACACACATGAAAGAAATAAGAATAGCTAGGTAAATAACGCAGGTAAATCCATCTATAAGTAAGCATTTGCGGTCAGCATCGTACAACCATTTTTAAAAAGATAAATATAAAAAAGAAAAACTGTTTATGATCAATATTTCGAACTCTTCCATAAAAAATTCCAGGCACCTGGTATGTGTCAAGCCTGTCATCAGCAGGCAGTGATTTTGTAATGCAGTCCTGGACACAGACACACTTGACACAGCCACTGAACTAGCAGAAAAACAGGTTCACTTTCTGTTACAACAGTATCTAGAAGCAATTGAAGGTCCTTTTCTGAGCCTGCTATTAAAACTGTGTCATCTGTATACCTGATGTTATTAATATTTTCTTCATTTACTTTGAGACCTGGACATTCTTCTATGTTTCTAAGGATTGTTTCACTGTACATGTTAAAGAGGTCTGGTGACATAACACATCCTTGCCTCACTCCTCGCCTAATCTGCTTATATTCACTGTATTCTCTATTAATTCGCACAGAAGTACCAGTACAAATTCCTGATAATTCTTAGATCTTTTCCATCTATGTCTAGCCTTTCCAGTATTTTAAATAGCTCATCATGTCTAACTTTATCGAACGCCTTTGAATAATCTATGAAGAATAAATACAGATCGTTCTGTGCTTCAACACATCTTTCCATTAACATTGTGAAGGTGAATATAGCATTTCTGGTGCCCTTGTCAGGAACAAAGCCGAATTGCGTTTTAGATATCTCTGGTCTTACACTTCTTCTCAATCTTCCCATTATTACTCGCAACAACATTTTTGTAAAATGACTCATAAGGCTAATTGTTCTATGCATATCACTCAGTGGCACCTGGTGTTTTAGGTAAAGCTATAAAAACTGACTTCATCATACTTTCTGGGATCTCACCACTGTCATAAATTGCATTGTGGAGTTGTTGTTATTTCAGTGCCTAGTTCTTCAGGAGAGACAATCACTTCAACAGGAATATTATCTGGCCCTGTGGATTTTCCTTGTTTCATTTTCCTAATGGCAACCTGTACTTCTGCTTTCAGTATCGGTGGTCCATTTATTTCATTCTTTATTACCGGTTTTTCTCCTCTATTATCTTCGAAAAGTTCTGGGCCTATGTATTCTGACCATCTGTTTAAGACATCCCCATAGTCCATTAAAATATCTCCTCCTTTTGATCTTATGGATCCTGTATTTGAGCATCCTTTTATCCCACTTACTTCCTCGATTTAGGAATGCATGTATTTGCTGTCTTTGTATTGGTTCTTTTCTATTTGTTGACACTGATCATTTATCCATGTTTTGGTTTTTTTGCTTCGTTGCATTTTTTCTTTATTTCCCTGTTTAAGATGTACTTTTCCACATTTGATTTTGCCTTTCTTCTCTCTTCCATTAGTTTTAATACGTCCTGGGTCATCCATTTTTTATTTGCTCTTTTAGCTTTCCGGGGGAAATTTTCTTCAACAGCTTCCATTATTGAGTCTTTCATTTTCTTCCATAGTTCTCCCGATTTAGTAATGTCTTCCAAAGCTTGACATTTATTGCTTACAGGGAGAAATGTTCTTTCAGTTCTTGATTTGTCTTTAAAAGATCTATATCAAATTTTGATTGGTATTTTGACTTTTTAAGTTTCTTCAGTCTCATCTGCATTTTACACATGACTGGTACAAGGTCATTATCACAGTCTACTCCTGGCAGTGATTTAGACGATTTAATTGTATTTCTAAAATGTTTCTGAATAAGTATGAAGTCTATTTGATTTCTACTTCTATCGCTAAGACTCTTCCAAGTGTATCATCTTCTTCGGTGTGTGTTTGACATCATAAAATTATTTTCTTCGCACCATTCTATCAGTCCTTCCCCGCGTTCGTTCTCTTTACCCAGTCCCCATGGCCGAACAATATCTCCTGTACGTGTACTTCCTACTTTGGCATTAAAGTCCCCCATGACTACCTTTACATCTTGTGATTTTAACTCTTTGATTGCCTTATCAAAGTCTTCATAAAAAGTCTCAATTTCCTCGTTGTCATGTTCTGATGTTGATGCATACGTGTGTGTGCCTAGAAAAAGGTACCAAAAGTCGCCACAAACCATTTTGAGCGACAGGCTGATAATGACAAATAATCACTTTTTTGACCAAAACGCGTTTCCAAAAAAAATTATCGTTTCCACCATTTTTTAAGAATGCGTTAAAAGAGTTTTCATTGATTTGACTTCTAAGTATTTTGTTGTGAATTATTTTGAGGGTAGGGTATGTTTTAAAAAAAGATAATGAAAACTGCTTCTAAAACGTGTTAAAATCTATTCTTGAAGCATGTTTTCTCTTCCCCACTATGTTTTACCATTGAATTCTAATCATGATATTGATGTCAACTGAATGCCGAATTGAAAATGAATTTTCCATGAATAAATACATTAGAAACAATTGAATCATCTTTTTTTTTCAAGTGTGTTCTAAACTTAAAAGCTAATTTTCTCAAAATTAGATCTTTATACCCTACCTCGCAAAATGTGCAATATCTCAAAAACTACTTGAGATATCTCAAAAATTCAAAACCCACTGTGTCCAGCATTGAATGTCTCATTAGATACAACCGTTAACTCAAAATGGTTAAAATCCGACTTTACTACCTTTCTATTTCTTTAGGCACACACGCATATTTGGATAACACCTATGTCAAAAAGTTTTCCTTCTAATTTAGCCACGATGACTTTATCTTTCCTCCATTTGCTTTTGATAAAAGTCCTACTTCACTGAAAAACTCAAACCATCCCAAAAAGTTACGAAAGTTATGGCACAGTTCAATTTAATTTCTAGTGACCTGAAATATGAACCACAGTCATCCTACATTAACTTATTGAAATAGATTAAAGTTTTCTCTGCATTCAGTTTCACCACATCATTTTCACACCTATGTTCATTAAATTTGAAATATCCAAACCTGATTAGAAATGACCTTCGCTTGAAATTGAGATTAAAATTTTTTGAAGACATTTAATCATTCAATCAAGGCCAATTCCTCTGGAAAACATCAAAGAGATAATCCATTCATAGTGTTGACATCATCATTGACATTACCTTGTCCACACACTACACAAACTGATAAAAGCATTACAATCTCTTCACATTGTTAACAAACAAACAAACAAGAATGCTTTCAGTTGTCATACCTTTTGAAACGCTTCAGGCATACAACGATCCACAAATCTGAGACAGTGTTCATCACTTTCGGCAAGACCTGCAAATATGTTCTCATGTTATTGTTGATTTCAAATTTAGCAATACAGTATTTGCATCACAAAAGATTAAAAAGATCATCACAAATGATCTTTTAAAATTATCTCAGTTATTTTTTATATCAAATAATCATATAAAAACAATACAAAAATATTTTTAAGAGTATTTTTATCAAATATATTATTAACAGAAAACACAATTCAACATTATAATATCAAGTGTATCGTTGACAAAAAGTCTAACGTTATTCATACCCTTAAGAACAATTCCATAGCTGACAAAGCAGAGGTGTTAAATTATTAAAGTGGAGTTGCAGGCTCGCATGATATGCTGACACTCAACATATAGGACCTGAAACAACATATTTATCTCACCAGCTTCCATGAGGCGTGTAGAAGCTATAAGACATTTGCCAAGGGATTCTTCTTTCTTGAAAGGGATGTTCCAGTTTTCAGTGAACACTCTGCCTTCCAGCTCATACAAATTTGTCACAGGGAACTCCAAACTGTTGGTTTCCTCCATTGCTGCTGCTTCACTCATGGTAGCAGCATCCATCATCTATAAAGAAAAACCATTAGAAACATAAAAATGTTCCACTCTATGAAAAATTCAAAGCAGTGAGTGATGGAGGCTGAAACCAACAGGATTCAAAGTAAAAGTATGGAGTAAAATGTAACTAGGCAGTACTGGGATGATCCAGAAGAAAAAAAATCCAAGTATAAAAAGAAATTGAGGGAGCAGAATAAATTCATTTAGAACTTTTAAAAATAATGCCACTGAATTTGAATAGATGAAGAAACACATCCCAAGTAATTATTTAATCATCCAATTTCCTTTGATCAATTCATTAGATGCTATAATACTTCAGATATATATTATGTATTTGATGTTAAATTCACTTTAACTTTTTACAGTTGTCTTCCGCAAATGCATAAAGAAAATCAGACATTTCATCAATGATGATCCCTTCTTCACTCTGGCGGAATGCTATACTTAAAGCGATTCATGCTCCCATCTTTATTCAAATGATTAAAAAGGCAAGATGATTTTTTTTGTTTTATTGAGAATACCCAAAACCAAAAAATCAGCACTGTAACCTTTGCTCTCCAGCTCTTGTACCCACTAATGACTGATGACAGTGCACACACAAACTAGTTAAACACATACTTCCAACTCCCGATGTCAAAATGATAACAACAAGCATTCTAATGGACATTTCCATTTGTATATTAACTTTTGTTTGAAAAATACTGTATCAAAATTACATCTCGGCCTCAGTCTAGAGGCTGAACAACAACCAGATCCACATTTTTGTTATAAATATATATATATATATATTTTTATATATATATATATATATATATATATATATATATATATATATATATATATATATAATTTTTTAACTCCTCCTCATATCAGCCAGAACAAAAAGCTCTGTCGTTTCTGTTTACTTACCCTCTTCCACAAGAACGATACAAAGCATGTCGTTTTCACCTCCCTTAATAAAAAACACTCTGTTCAGTCCTCCATATCCATGTTTACAATAATTATACCTGAATTGGTCAAGTTAGAATCTGGGCATGATGATAATTCCCTCCTTTATGAGAATTTAATTCTTGAAGGCGTAATACCCGAGAGGCACCACGTTGTACCACCGACAATTTTGAATCTAGAATCCGAGTCATTGTCCCCCCGCTTTTCTCCACTCAGTCTCACTATCTGCTTCCCCGAGGCTGTTGATGGTATATTTTTACATGCGGCTAAACGTAGAAAGACACATCTGCCAGATTGGTGGCTAATTTTAGTAATGTGATGTCATCACATCCTGCGATACCCACAGACTATTTTTAGAAGGCCTTGACACCAAAGATCATGTTGTAGAGAATCTTTGGAGATACCGCAGACATGTTGGGTCAATGGCTTGACGTATTATCCGTATCGATGTGTTTCGCACGGTACAAGTCCACACTTGCGGCTAACTGCAGACCATCAGCCATGCTCTAATGATTGGTTACTAGGTTGCCGGTATGTTAAGAACATTTCGGAATTCCGATAGTGATGCTTGAAATTGAAACACGGTAAACAAAAAGACAATTTAAAGGGGGCGTAAATTGCCAGAAGATTAACCTCCCCCTCCCCCGTCTTACCTAAAAATAGTTTGCTTCATTCTATGTTTAGTCGCATGTCTTTTGTTTGGCATGGTGAACAAGGTAAATCTAGGGTAAATTTTTACTTTCACTCCCGCACACAGATGCACTGTTTCAGGGGTCAAACTGCTGTACTGTTTGCTGCAGATCACACATAAAGCCACTAAAACTGTCGCAAATCAATTATTTTCAAGACAATTTCAAATCTAACTGTAAAATATCAAATTATGGGTGTAAAAACCCCCCTGTAACCCCCCAGATTTTCTTTTACCCCAGTGGGGCAGGCCCCCCTGGAACCCCCCGATTGGTCCAAAGCATGTCTATCTCGGTTAAAAACAATCAAATATTTCAAAAACCATTAATTTGCGACGGAAATGAAGTTGATATTCGTGTTCAACGCATCAATATTTAGTAGAAAATAGACAACTGGTAGCTGAGTGTGAGACGGGAGGGAAAGTAAAAAAATACCAAATCTAGTTCCAACATTCTCATGAGATATCTAAATGACAGTACAAATTTAATTCTCGATTTTCAGGAAAACCTGTGAAATTGAAATAAATTCAGGCTGACAAGAGTTACAGAAGTGTCAGTGGAGATCCGCAAATGAAACTTTCTCAAGAAACTTTCTGACAACTAAGCTACATTACCAGACAGTTGAATACAATATTATTTCATTATGGGTTCACATTTTACACAACCTGGCTGGAAAGCATTGTAATTCAACAAAAACGTAATAACTCAAAAGTCTGGAACTTACCTTGTTTTGTCCACTGTCATTGCACACTTCATCATAAGTGGGAGGCAGATGAGGACCATAGGTTACGCTTGAGCTTGGACCTGATCTCACATCTTTCAAGTCAATGTCCATCACCTCTACAGAGTATGGTGCAGTTGGTGGCTCATTTGTCAGTATCGCAACAGCATCACCCAGATCATTCTTGGCCATTCGGAGTGCTCTCCGAACTTCGGATTCGGAGGGAAATCCCATGGCCAAGATCATCTGAACATTTTCATCGCTCACAATAGTCATATCCATGATGCACACGGTTATTAGTTCACAAGAATAAACAATTATAATGTAATGCACCCGGGAAACATTTACATTCACATAATAATATTACATTTTATGCATAGTCATTAAAAACACAACAGCAAAGAGTCATCAGCAGAATAAGTGTATCCTACTCCGCCATCTTGGTTTTGAAGCCACTTTATTTATATTAAACTTTTATCGTAAAAGAGCATCACCTCGTGGGCGTCGTCTCAGCGTAGAAAAATTATATCGCCAAATCAAAACAGTTTTTTTTTTTATATCAGGTTCCCAACTCATTTTTTACTCTGCACTATTGTCGCTGCGTGTGGAAATAAGTAAAATACTGAGAAGACGAGTTAAAAGAGAGGGGATGGGTGTGGAGGGAGAGAGGACAGAAATGCGGGGCAAGGAGAATACAGGGAGAGAGAGATGGGGCGAGAGACAAATTTAAAGAGAAGGAGAGCGAGGTAAAAAAGAGATCGCTGACCAAAATTGTAATTTTACTGTATTTCTTAAATGAAATTCTATACCTCTCTCGGTGCATAACTCAATTTCTCACCAACTCATTAGGTTGTGTTTTCCTGGTGTCTTCAACGGCATGCCTCGCTCTGCCTCCCTCCTTCTACACATGTACTCTGTTACTGTCTTGGCAATCCCTTCCTTATTGATCATAATACGATGTGCTCAAACACAACTCACTAAAGTTTGCATTTCTTCACTGAAAAAAAGGAGGTTTTCATGTGGCCTTAGGTTTACTTGATTCTTATCATCTCATTTCATTCGTTGTACGCTGTTGTCTTTGTAAGAGTTGCCAGTAAATAAATGAAAGCATTATAGCAATCTTTGGAACACTTTTCTTCATCTCAATAATGTCTGCTGTGGGCTATAGGTCCACGACGTGACGACATACAAAAATACCGAGATGACCAAAGAACGCATTCGTCTCGTGTCACGGTAGAAAGACCTTTGAGCTGAGTATGTTGTTTCTTTTCTTTTTAATGGTCTTCAATGCATGTAAGCCTATTACCAGTTGCGGCTCGTGGTTTGTGAAACTGACCGACTATCATTCATGATCTCCCCATCCCATCCCAACCTCACCTCAACCTCCAACCCCCTTGGTCTTGGTCTTCCTTGGGAGGGGAGAGGGGGGGGGGGTAATCTGTTGTTCTCTGTCAGGGAACTCGGATCTTACACATCTAGAACTTCATGATAAATTGAGCAGTTGCCCTCAGACGGAAAGAGCCCCCGCTATGAAAGGCAAGCACTGGTGGTAATTGGATTTATAAGTAAGACTGACGAATGTCATTATCAGACAGGATAGCAGTTGAGAGGTGTGAAGTTCTGACCACTGCTTGCCGATCGGACAAACGATCCTTGATCCCACCGGCTG